GAGGGGTTGCCACCGACCGACGTGTGAAGGCGCGGGCGCGGGGGGGGGGGCCCGCTGGGGAGCTGCTGAACCGAATAAGCAAAGGCACTGGGGCAAAAAAACACTGCTCGGAGGTTTCTAGAGTGCCCAGTGCGTGCACGGCAGGTGCGGCACGAGCAGATCTACGCACCCTAGGAGGGGTGAGCGGGAAGAGGACTGTCAGGTAGCATTCGCTGGCTCGGGCATTCCAGAGGAGGAAAGGCTTCCGGTAGGTGGAGCTGGGAAGTAGGGGATAGGACTGGGGAAGGTATCTTAAGGTGAGACACTGGTGTAAGTGTGAGCCTAGGCAGTGAAGTGGGGGAAGGGTGAGAAGTGAAGGCACCCAAAAGAAGAAGATTGGAAACTCACTTGGAGGTAGATTGCAGAGGGGCCTTGGTGCCAGGTTGGCGGTTCGAGTTCCTGTTGCAGCAGCAAGCTGCTGTGTAGGGTAGAGGATGAAAGCAAGGAGGTAGAATCCAGCCTCCAACCTGGGATGGACACTCAGCCCTGACCGACAGAGGACTCACTCTTGACAAATGCAGTAGCCCATCGCCCAGTAACCGCATGCGCTCCCCGATTGCTGGTGCCCACGGGGCCTGGGATCCTGCTTGTAGCTACAGCGAAGTATCGATCACCACATCCCAGCGCTGGCATAGGTTTGGGGCTTGAGTGGTTTCTTGGCTTTCTCTGCCTCTCCTTATGTTCCTGTCTTAGGGCACGGCATCAGGCTGCTGAGAGCTTGTATGTTTCCTGCTGCTGTCACTCCCCCTCCCCCAAGGCAGGTGGAGCAGCCTGTGTGTTCTCCAGGCTCTGTGTACCCCACACTAAATCCTAAGTATGGATGCAGAAAGCAACCACAGGCTAGACCTTGGCCCAGTGGGAGGAGAATGCAGTTCTGGAAGTGCTTTGCACTGCTGCCTTGAGGTTTGCAGCTCACAACCCAGGCTTCAGAGCTCAGCCTGCCCTCCCTCTCCATTAGCATCTTACTTCCTAGCTGTTGTGCTGGTTAATTTAGATGCTTGATCTAAATTAGATCCTTGATCTACCTGCCATTCCTCCCCCACTCCCTCCACCCCCCCTTCAAACTATGAACCTGTGCTTCACTGCCTTGGCTGAATTAGACCAATCCCTCCTAGCAGAGACTTTTACTGATTCACCACCTCTGGCTCATAAGGCCAGGCTCAAGACAACTTAGTGAGCTCTTTACTAAACTAAATGAAACAGGATTCACTGTATACAAAAAAAACAAGGAGTCTGGCCAGCCCAACCCCTATGGTGAAACTGCCCTGTGCCCCTGACACCATTAGCTATAGTCCTTACCGCTATCCTAGTATAAATGCTACCTGTTGTGCTAATGGGAAAGATTGAAGTTGCAGCTGTGAGTCAGAGCCCAGGACCTCAGAGCTTGTAAATGCGGCTAACTCAGGTTAACTTGAGTTCAGAGCCTGAAAGCTCCACATTTTTTTTTCTCAGTCGTGGGGCTTGAAGCCTGGGCCTGGGTGCTGTCCCCGCGCTCTTCAGCTCAAGGCGAGTGCTCTACCACTTGAGCCACAGCGCCACTTCCAGTTTTCTTGTGGTTTATTGGAGATAAGAGTCTCGTTTATTTTTTCCTTTCCTCATCTCTTCCACCTTGCAAGCTTGGTTCTGTTGCTTCATGCCTTGCGTGCCTAGGTATGATACCTATCTGACAATTTGCTTTTTTGCTGAGCCTTCCCTATCTCTCTTTGGCCTACACATAATCCTAAAACTATGTTGTTGTCCTTGACCTTGCCTCCCTACCAGCCTTGTTTATCTTCCAATAGGACTCAGTACAGTGTTTCAAGCTCTATGGCTTTTACCCCCTGCTTGAATACAGCATGAATGCAGCTTGAATACAAGATGAACACATCCTCCAGCTTGAATACAGCACCCACTCCCTCACACCTCTGCAGACTTGGGCAGGGCTAGGCCCACGTGGTCATAGAATACCACATTTCACCCTTAACCCCCAACTCACAGGAATCCTTTTCTCTTCCCACCCCCACCCTGCACCTTAAATAACCTCTACCTCTTGTGTGTAGTATCTGATCTTAGGAAAGCCCTTTCCTGTGTTGAACAGCTTGCCTGACCAGTATTTAGCAAGATTCTTGGCTGCAAAGATAGAAACTTAATTTAAACTGGCTTGATATAAAAGGGGCTTTGCTGGCTCAGGTTCTAGAATAAAAAGTCCAGGAATAAAAATGGCTCAGGCATGACTGTATCCAAGATCCCTATCTTCATCTTTCTCTCCATCTGCCATGTCCTGACTCTTGCTTTCTCTGGGTTTCCTTTGCCAGGGCATCTGTCTTCCTTGGAGGCCCCTTGTTTCTGGTTTTAGATCCAGCCAGTTTAGCCACCCCAGTAAAGAGAGAGTATCTAGAACGGTCTCATTAGTGTGACTGGGGTGACAACCCAATACCTAAAATGTTTACTTTAGCCAAAAGGATTGCATCAGACCTGTCATGTGCCTGCCTATAGGAGTAGAAGAGAATCAGCCTGGCTTGAACCAACAGAACCTGGACTGTTAGAAGTAGAAGAAGGAATTGATGCTCATAGATGAGAACTACATCCCTTATCTATCTCTGCATGGACAGAATGGCTCCGCTTGGGTTTCTGACCCTTACCCTTTGTTCTGTGTTTTGTGTCCTAGTTACCTACAGTTAAAGCTTTGCCAACAGCACACCTTCCACTGGCTTGTGGTTCTTCCCTTTTCCTTCTTACTTGCTTGAATGGTACGAGAATTAGCACGTGCTTGGAACAGGGTTTGGCACAGAATCAGCCTTCATAGGTGTTAGCCATTCTTCTGTGACTGACCGTAAGCCTATCTATCCTATGGGCCTGTAGTTACCGTCCTGGCTGTAAATCTGGGTTCTATCTGTCTGACCTTGGTCGGACAAGTTGTGTGTGTGTGTGTGAGATCAATCATAGGGCTTAACTCTGGGCCTGGGCACTGTCCCTCAGCTCTTTTTTTTTTTTTTTGTGAACATACTGTACAGAGGGGTTACAATTACATGGGCAAGATAATGAGTACATTTCTTATCAAGCATTGTAGCCTCCTCTGTTTACCCTTCACATCCCTTCCCAGCCTCCCCCTGCCCCCCCACCCAATCCTCCCCCCCCCATCAAAGTTGTAAAGTTCGTTTTCCACATGACAACTTGTACTTCTCATCATTGCAACGGGTCCACCTGTATCCTTATTTAAACGACTTTGTCCCTCAGCTCTTTAGCTCAAGGCTAGCGCTCCACCACTTGAGCCACAGAGCCACTTCCATGGACAAGTTATTTTTGCCTCTTGATTTTCCTCATTTGCAAAAGGGGTTGCCCAAACTCCTAGGATTGTTATGAGTATTAGCAAACCAGTGTAGATAGGTGCTGAGCCCAGTGGGGGCCTCCAGGAAATGACTATTGCTCTCATTATCTTTACAAAATCTTTCCTGCGCTTGTAAGATAATGTTTTCAAAAGCGCGTTGATCTTACTGGTTTTTGCCTTGTGGTATAGCAACAAGTTGGCTCTTCTGTCTTATCAGCAGAAAAGATAAGCAGGATAGAGAGGGCAGCCATACCTCCCGGGGCCTAAGTGAAGGGGCATCTCTTCCAGCTCCCTCCCAGCTGTGAGCTACTCTGGTCCCTGAAGGGGCCACCTCAGCCTTGTTCCATGGTTATAGGTACGAGAATGGAAGGAGCAGGGCAGCAAGACATTCATGTGCACGGGTCGCCCCGGCTGGCTCACTGTCTCACTGCGAGTTGGCAAGTACAAGAAGACGCACAAAAACATCATGATCAACCTGATGGACATTTTGGAAGTGGACACCAAGAAGCAGGTGAGAGTGTATTATCCGCTGCATTTAGGAATAGGGCAGGCATTACCGTACTGGGGGGGAGTTATGAGCAAGGTGAGTTTAACCCAGGCATCCTAGAGTGGATAGGACCAAGACCCATGGTCATCAGGGGAATCCCTGCCCCACACTGCTGTGCTCCCAAGCCCCCCAGCCCCCCAGAGGGAGATAGTAGTCACAGTCCCATCCACTGGACAGGCCAGTGAGAGCTCCAGATTCTTTGACTCTCCTCATTTATCTATAAATAGTCGATGGAAAATCAGGCTGAAATGAGAAGCAAAGGAGAACTTATTTAGCTCTTCCTGGTAAGGAGGTATGCTGGTTAAAAAAAAAAGTAAGTGTGGGGCTGGGAAGGTGGCTCAGTGGTAGAGCACTTGCCTTGCATGCATGAGGCCCTGGGTTCGATTCCTCATCACCACATAAGCAAAAAGGAAAAAGCCGGAAGTGGTGCTGTGGCTTAAGTGGTAGAGCGCTAGCCTTGAGCTGAAGAGCTGAGGGACAGCGCCCAGGCCCAGAGTTCAGGCCCCACGACTGGACCCCCCCCCAAAAAAAAAAAAGTGTCCGGGAGAGGAAATCTTGTGGCAAGGATCCTAAGACACTCACTTGCTGAATAGTCCCCAAAATGCATACTCTTTGGTTCATCTAATAATTCTACTTAAAATCTGGCTTAATTGATTCCCAGTTCAGATAGGCTGTATCACTTCTTTTGTCCTTTCCTTTTCTTTTCTTTTTTTTTTTTTTAAATCAGGGTCTCACTTCATAGCCAAGGTTGCCCTGGAACTCACTAGGCCTCAAACTGGCAATCCTCCTGCCTCAGCCTTTAGACTGCTAAGATTACAGGCCTGTGCTACCATACCTCGCTACACCTTTATTTCTCTCTGAAGATAATGAAATGTTCAATAATAGGAAGTTATTGTGAATGGTAAATCTACTTGCTAGTGCTTCAGTTTTCTTATGACAGCATGTCTGCCTTAAAAAAAAAACAAAAACAGGTTTGAGCTGGGCACCATAGCTCATACCTGTAATCCTAGCAACTCAAGAGGCTGAGATCTGAGGATCATGGTTCAAAGCCAAGCAAGAAAGTCTGTGAGACTCTAATCTACAATAAATTACTCAGAAAAATCCAGAAGTAGAGCTGTGGCTGAAGTGGTAGAATGCTAGCCTTGTGCACAAAGAGGCTCGGGGACAGCACCCAGGACTGACAAAAAAATTAGCATAAATTAAATATACAAAGGGGTTTCATTATATTTAGATAGATGCATATAATGTACTTTGACCATACTCTCCATACTTGCTATACGGTAAAAAAACGGTGCCAATAGAAAGGTGCAGCCTTGCCGAATGTTGGTGACTCCTACCTATGATCCTAATTATTCAGGAAGCTGAGGTCTGAGGATCACAGTTCAAAGTCAGCCAGGCAGGAAAGTCCGTGAGACTCTCATCTCCAATTAACTACCAGAAAACCGGAAGTGGCACTGGGGCTTAAAGTGGTAGAGTACTATCCTTGAGCAAGAAAGCTGAGGAATAGCTTCCAGCCCTGAGTTCAAGCCCCACACCCACAGACAAAAAAAGAAACAAATGGACAGCCAGCTAAGTAAGAACTCCTGACAAGTCCACACATGAGATACTATTACTAGAATCAAGAAAATTGATCATAACTAACATCCCCAAAAGTTTTCTCATGCCACCTGTTAATTCCTTCCTGCTGTCCCCCTTCATCCTTAGGTAAATAGTGATCTGCTTCTAGAGTTTGATATAATTGGAATCACTCAGTATATATAGATTCTTTAGTAGTAATTTTCAGGTTTATCCACACTGAAGCAATATCAATACTGGATACTCTTTATTTTTTGCTGAATAGTGTTCCTTTGGGTGGACGTGCTAGTTTGGTTATCCATTCACCTCCTGGTGGATACTTGGGCTGTTTCCACTTTGAGGCTATTATGAATAAAATGCCTGTAGACATTTATGAATCATCTTCTTATAGACATAAAGAGACTGTTTGGGAATGGAGTGGAATGACTAAGTCACACGATAGATGTATAACTTTTAGGGAAAATTGCCCCATTGTTTTCCAAAATGGTTACAGCATTTCATATCCCCACCAGCAATATTTCTCTTTGGTCCATATTATCCTGAAATCGGCTGCATAGTTAGTCTGGACTCCAGCCATTGTAAGAGTTGTTTGTGTATTATTTCATGGTGGTTTTAGTTTACATTTCCCATATGAACAAAAATATTACTACCTTCTGTGCACATTCGCCATTTGTCTCTCTCCTTGGGTGAGCCCTTTTGCCAATTTTGGTTTTAAATAGGATGCTTATGAAAACAACAAATATTAATTCTGATAAAATTCAGTTAACATCTGTTTTTGCACATCATACTTTTTTTTTTTTTTTTTTTGTCAGTCATGGGGCTTGAACTCTGGGCACTATCCCTCAGCTCTTCAGCTCAAGGCTAGCACTCTGCCATTCGAGCCACAACACCACTTCCGGCTTTTTCTGCTTATGTGGTGCTGAGGAATCGAACCCAGGGCCTCATGCATGCAAGGCAAGCGCTCTACCACTGAGCTACTTTCCCAGCCCCTGTACCTCATACTTTTGATGTTGTATTTAAGAAATCTCTGCTTAATCTAAGGTCACAAAGGTTTTTCTTCTGTATTTTATTCTAGAAGTTTTAAGGACACCATAAAGTGAAACTACTTGGGCTTAGAGTTTCTTTTGTGAGCAATTTTTTAAACTAAATATCAGTGTTTTGGAGTTTATTCTTGGCTGAACTTTGATCTCAGACATTTGTTCATTAGGTTGCACAGTTTATCAACAGACTCTGTCACATTCCCACATTGTCCTTTTAACATCTGTAGCACCTGGAGCTATGGCAGGTCATTCATTGTGTCATTTGATTCTGCTCTCCCTTGTCAGTCTGTCTTAAGGCTAATCAATTTTACTCATCTTCTCAAGAACTAGCATTTGACTTCATTGATTTTTTTTTTCTATTTCATTGATTTCTGCTGTGGTCTTCCTTACTCTCATTTTTTCTTACTTGAGTTTAATTTTCTTTGCTTTTTACAGTGTTGGGGGAAGACACCAGGGTCTTGGGCAAACAAAGCAATCATTCTGTTATCTGAAGAAAGAATTGGTAGAGCCACTTTTGGTAGTTTATTTTTCTTTTTTGCCATACTTAGGTTTGAGTTTGTGGCCTTACACTTGCTAAGCAGACACTTTTGTTGCTGAGTCACATCTATAGACTGATTTTTGCTCTTTTTTTTTTTTTAAAGGAAAGTTTCATTTTTCACCAGCTATACCTGATGTGACCCACCTGTTGGGCTTCCTGATAGCTAGGATAACAAATAGAAGCCACCATCTTAGTTTTGCGTGGAGAGGGGATCCCATGAGCTGTAGGCCCTAGATGGCCTCCAACTTCAATCCCATCATTTTCAGCCTCCCGAGTGGCTAATATTACATATATGAGCCACTAGTGCCAGTCACCCTTTTGGTAGTTTTTTAGGGTGAAGGGTTTAGGCCATTGATTTTTCTTTTTTCTTTATTTTTTTCCCTTTAATATAGATCTTTAATGCTATAATTTTTTTTTCTAAGCAAGTAACAGTCTATGTTCTTTTATTTTCCACCAGCTCAAATACTTATTTGGGTTTTTTGTTTATGAGATAGGGTTTCACTATGTAGGCTAGGCTGGGCTTGAACTCGCCATCATCCTGCCTTAGCCTCCCAGATCCTGGGATTACAGATAATGTACTGCCACACTCAGCTTCATGAAAAGAAGGGTATGGTCATAACAAAACGCTAACTTGAAAACAAAAAGGCAACAGTTTCATGTATGTGTAAGTCCATATTTATGTGGGTATAACATATTAAATAAAACATACAAAATAGTGGGTTCACACCTATAATTCTAGCTACTCAAGAGACTGAGACCTACAGGATCAAGGTTCAAAGCCAGCCCAGGCAGAAAATTCCACCAGACGCTAATCTCCAGCTAACCAGCAAAAATCTGGGCTGGAGGAGTACCTCAAGTAGTAGAGCACTAGCTGAACAAGCATGGGGCCCTGAAGTTCAAAGCCCCATACTGGCATAAAATTAGGTATAGGCCTACATCATTTAATCTCTGTTTCTTTACTTCTCACTTTCCCATTCATTTCTTCTGTTTCACCATTTTAATTTTACTTACTAGCATCAGTTATTTGTACAAGGAGGTTTGATACATACAAAGGTGAATGCAATTCACCTTGATTGGACGCAACACCCTTTGTCATTCATCTCCCGTCCCCTTCTTAGTATCAGCAGGCTTTATCATTCTGTTTTTCACACATTTACATAAATGATTTTGACCATATTCACTTTCCTGTGCTGTCTTCGTTCACCCTCACCTCTTAGGGTGGTACCTACACCCAGGCAAGACATGTTTTATATTCCAGCAAAGTGTAAATAACCATTTTAATAAGCAAAATGAAGAAAGATTTCTGAATTTAAAAATATTTGAAGCCAGGTGCTGGTGGCTGGTGCCTGTAATCCTAGCTACTCAGAAGGCTGAGATTTGAGGATCATGGTTCAAAGCCAGCCTGGGGAGGAAAGTCCATGAGACTCTTACCTCCAATTAACCACTAGAAAACCAGAAGTGGTGCTGTGGCTCAAGTGGTAGAGTGCTAGCTATGAGCTGAAGAGCTCAGGGACAGTGCCCAGGCCAAGAGTTCAAGCCCCACGACTGACCAAAAAAAACAAAACCAAAAAACTTGACAGGCTTTGATTCATCACTCACTATAACTAAAGGCAGTGTAGTGTTCCAGAAGGAATACACAGCTGAGTAGGAAAGCTTGAAAAGCCTCCTTATGGTGGTCTTCTCCTGAAACATCTCTTTCCCTGTGTCTACAGATTGTACGTGTGGAACCCCTGGTGTCCATGGGTCAGGTGACTGCTCTGCTAAACTCCATTGGCTGGACCCTGCCTGTGTTGCCTGAGCTTGATGACCTCACAGTAGGTAAGGACTCCATATTCATGGGCAAGAGGAGTCAGATTGTCCCAGGATCAGGGCGAGGGGGCCTTGGCCATCTTCCATCTGGTGTAGGGATGGCCAGTCTTCCATCAGGGATAGAAGTTACCATCTCTTACCTGCTGGGGTCAATGATGGGGCTTTCACTGTCTACTACTCTATTTCTGAGCAGCTCAGAATAGACAGCACTATTATTCAATAGCATTTCCTCATTTCCAACTCAAATCTGCTTCCTTGTGACTTACGTATGCCACTTCTACCTGTGGAACACACAGAATACTTCTAGTCCCTCTTCCCAGAGGATATGTGGGTCTTAATCCTTCTCATATCAAGGGGAAGCATCTTCCCATGGATCACAGCTCCCTGTTACCCCATTGACCTCAGTTTTCCTTGAAGCCTCTCTTAGAGTGAGCACACAGGCTTCTAAGTTGAGGCTGGCTACAGTGAGGGTATGCATATCCACTCAAACTCCTGCCCTCAACTCCCATCGAAGCCCTTCTCTCCTAAGTAAGCTGTGCCCTGCACATCACTGCTAGCTCTGACTGGCATGTGTCTCTGTAGGGGGGCTGATCATGGGCACAGGCATCGAGTCATCATCCCACAAGTACGGCCTGTTCCAACACATCTGCACTGCCTATGAGCTGGTCCTGGCCGATGGCAGCTTTGTGAGATGCACTCCGGTGAGTTCCACAATGGGGCATACCAAGGGTGTTAAGGATTGCGGGGTCAGAGAAGTGGCTCTCCCAGGGTGCCTCATTTCAAATACACCTTTGCAGGCTGTACCAATAATAATAACAAAAGAATGATACATGTGCTTAGACACTATTGTGAATGCACTTAATCTTGAACACCCAATGAAGTCAGAACTATTTTTATCCACATTTTTCAGATAGGAAACTTAAGCACAGATGATTAATAAACTTGCCTTAGGTCACACTAGTGAGATTCAAAGTCAGGCAGTTGGGCTACACCAGACTGACTGTGCAGAAGTCAGGCATTGGTAGTAAAGCTGTATATCAGGAGTTGTGGGGTGTGAATAAAAGATTAGAAGAACTGCTTTGTTACAATAAAAGCTCATTCTGTCACTCAAAGTGGGACACAGTCATTTAAGGCAATTTACCTAAAGAGTGGAACATTAATTAACCTCACTCAGATATGGCCTAGCATGTGGAAGGGGGGGTTTCTAGGATTGGATGGTCATGAGCTCCTTTTGAAGTGGATTTTTCAGGGAGTGAGGAAAAGGTACTGTGCTTGGGAGCTCTGAGCTGAGCTAGATAGACCATGGTGAAGACCCTATCTGTTAAGCATACTTTTCTGACACTGGGGTCCTGTCTTTGACCTATTTATTTTCAACAGAGAACAGACAAAGGCCTGTATCAAGGCCAAGACTCCTGACAAATGCATGCTCAGGAAGTGTAAGTAGGTTCTGTATGTGAAGCTCCAAGCCTAGATTCTGGCAGGCAGTTGCCAACTGGTTACTACTACTGTGATCAGAAAGAAGGATGAGCTGGTAACACAACTAGGCATTGGTTGTGCCAGTTCTGCTATTCCAGAGGCTTTTGCTGGCCCTCTGGAGACCACTCAAGCTCAGCCTCTGCCCTCCTGCAGCCTACCCTGCCCACCCCCAAGGAGTACATGCAGGGTTGACATAGATTTGTTGGAAAGGTGCTTTGTTAGAATCAAAAAGTCTAAATTAGAATGGCCAGAGGAAAAGGCAGTGATCTCCTGAGACAGATGTCAAAACAAGAAAACACTGCAATTAGGAAAAGATCTGTGGAGTAGAGGAGGCACTGAAGGAGGAACACTGCATGCTGAGTTAGGCCATCTTGCCTGAGCGGCTGACTTTTTAGGGTACCTTAGAGAAAACAGGTCACCTCTTGGGTGATTGACTTTTCCTTATCTCTCAAGAGGATAGTATTATCTCTAAGCTGTGTATTGGGGTGAGTGGAGATCCCACAAGCTAGTGGAGTGGGAAAAGCTCTTATAGCCAGAGACTTTCTCATGTCTCCTACTATCCTGACTCTTGGCAAGGGTTTAGCTCTTGATTAGCTTGGTCTGGGAATCCCTTGCCTCTTTGTCCCCTATCTGGGGTCTTTGGACATTTCTAGTCATGACTTCTTTCCTGGGGAGCCTGTGTCTTAAGTGGCTGTGACTAGATGGAAGGGGGAGGATGCTGTTTTGCTGAGCAACCATGATTGGCAAGTAGCTAAGGGCATAGTAGCTTAAATATCAAGGGAAAACTAAGTACAGATGGTAAAGGTCTTTGTTCCTATCATGCAAGATGGTGACAGATTAGCCCAGAGACCCCAGCTTCCCCAGTTGACTAAGTGTCATGGCCTGGGATCCACACATCAAGTCCTCCACATGTATCAATTCTGTCTCAACAGTCTGAAAACTCAGACCTGTTCTATGCCGTGCCCTGGTCCTGTGGAACCCTGGGCTTCCTGGTGGCTGCTGAGATCCGTATCATCCCTGCCAAGAAGTATGTCAAGCTGCGGTTTGAACCCGTACGTGGCCTAGAGGCCATCTGTGACAAATTCACCCAAGAATCCCGGCGGTCAGAGAACCACTTTGTAGAAGGGCTGCTCTACTCCCTGGATGAGGCCGTCATCATGACAGGAGTCATGACAGATGAAGTGGACTCTACCAAGGTAGGCCAGGCAAAGACTAAGACAAGATGGGGAGCATGGGTTGGGATGGGACTGAGCCTCTATGAAGCTACTCCCTGGGTCTACCTACCTGGGGTCTAGGCAGCTGACCCCACTTTCAGATGACAATGAAAGCTTCTATCTCCTCTGCTCCTGCCACCTGCTGGAATGTGACCTGTCTTGAGAGGTGTACCGTCTGCTTCTCACAGTGGCCCCATTGCCTGTATGAGTGTGTGTGTGTGTGTGTGTGTGTGTGTGTGTGTGTGTGTGTGTGTGTGTCAGACAGACAGTGCTATTCTTAAGGCCTGGGCACAGTCTTGACTTTTTCACTCAAGGCTAGTGCTCTGACACTTGAATCACACCTCCACTTTGGGCTTTTTGATGTTTAATTGGAGATAAGAGTCTCACAGACTTTCCTGCCTGGGCTACCTTTGAACTGCAATCCTCAGATCTCACCTTCCTGAAGAGATAGGATTATAAAGGTAATCCATCAGCACTGGCTGTAGTCTCATTTCACCAAGAGGAAACTGAGGCCCTAAGGGCTAATGTAATTTCTATAGTAGTTGATTTGATGCGTTGGGATCCAGATGGACACTCGTTCAACTTATACCACATACAATACTTGGAGGTTAAACAAAGACTGACCTACAAACATGACCCAAAGCCAACTATTGCTAATGTACTTCCTCTTGCAATACATGTTGTTTGATTACAAAAGCATTATAATGGGGAGGTGGGAGATGGGAAGGGGAAACAAAGGAGGAGGCAACAATGAATGAGGAAATGTACTCATTATCTTGCCCATGTAATTGTAGCCCCTCTACATGGTATTTTCACAATTTAAAAAAAAAAGCATTATAACCATCCCTTCTGCATTTCTCAAGAACTATTTGTGTGTCATTCTTATTGTTGTATGGAAATAATTGGCCTACATCACTTACTGAATGTTTAAATTTTGCATTGACTAAAATTATTTTATTCTTACAAATAAGATGGCATTGAAGATTTAAGACTCTTACACCACCTATCCGTTCTCTTTTTTGTTTGTTTTATTGCTTTTTGTCTTGCTATGTAGCCCAGGCTGGCCTTGAACTCTAGATCCTCCTACCTGTGCCTCCCAAGTGCTGGGGTTATAGGCATCTGCTACCCAGCTTTTTCCTTGCCCTTTAGTGCAAATGTTTGTGTTATTAAGTCCAATAAGCAGAACACTGAAGAGTGAGACACCCTAAGAGAGCTGTGCTCTTGCCCATTTCCTGCAGCCATGTGGCAGAAGCCTTTCCCTGCATTCTTGCCAACTCTAGTGGTAGTATCACTCATTTTCGCCAATCTGATAAGGTTAAAAATAGGGCCTCTTTTTAATTTGTAGTTCTTTAGTTTCTTGTGAACTCAAGTGTCTTTGCAGTTTTCCAGTTTGTCATTATCTATTGTTGTATTGAAATTGACTGGATTTTGTGTGAAAAGTGTCTCCCTACATTGTAAGGGCTTTGTGACTATCTTAATGTCTACAGAACAGAGAATTGAAGAGTGCCATGTTGCTTACTGAAGTACTGTGTCATTGGGAATTTAAGTTGCTTCCAGTTTTTTGTTGTTGTTGTTATTTTAATTACATCTTTTGTCTTCTGCGTGTAATTTGAAGATATCTTGTAGAATTAGTGAATCAAAGGATATTTATCCTGAAACGGTCTTGATCTATGCCTGTGTAAATAAAACATTTAAAATTAGAAAGGTCTGGAAAATCACCTGGAATTGTGACCCTCTCAAGGTAAACAAAGATGGCCCAGGTGGGGAAAGAGACCCCTGAGGAAACACAGTAAGCACAGAGCAGATTCTGACCCCTTTCCCAGGCCTTACAAATGCTCCTAGATAGGCAAGTGCTTTGTCACTGAGGTGCATGCTAACTCTGGAGCAGCCTCTTAATTCCCGACTCAATGTTGGTTCCCTCACATAGCCGCTTCTAGAATTTAAAATCATCCATGAACTTAGGTTCCTGAGGGCTTTGTAGTGAGGGAAGAGAGGGTCCTGGAGCAGTCAGGTAACACTGGACATGGAGCCCAGGTGCTCAGGCCTTCCCTGGGCTGAAACCTGATCAGTGTGTGTCCTCAGCCTCCAGTCACCTAATAGGGACATCCAAACGAGAGATTATCTGGCTTCTCCAAGGCTCTTCCTTAGAGCTTTTCACAGTACAAAGCCAAAGGAAGGGATCAAGGGGATCACCACCCCCCCTGTACCAGCATCATTTTGCTGTCATTTGATATGTTAAATGCCATCTCACTAACTGGCAAATGGGTTTGTACAGCTTTCAAATTTGAACAACTCACCAGATTCCCTGCGTACAAGGAGACATGGTCCCAAGGGCTTGCTCAGAGTCCTCCTTGGCTCAGTAGCAGAGATGTTTTCCTGCTCAGTGCTCAGTGAGCAAGGCCCAGACACCCAATGGGAACAGAGTGGTAGATGCCATTGCATGGGTGGGCATTTCATTTTTAGGAGCACTTCTTGCAAATACCCTGGTTTGAAAGGTTGCAAACTCTGTGCCAGCAATGTCTAGAGTAAGGTCCACTTCTGCTATGAGAAGAGGCTGTAAGAGGAGGCTTGGCTGTGGGAGTACTTGGGCTAGAAATGGAGCTTGCATGGCCTCTGGTCTCCCCAGCCGACTCCTGTCCCAGGAGAAACAGATGATCCAGCTTCTTTATGATTTCCTGGGCTTCTCAGATCCAGTGGTTCCTGAGTCTGAGTACCAGGACACCTGTATGCAGTACCCCAGGTCTCAAGTTCATTACAGCAGGTACCACTGCCAGGAGTGCAACCAGGCCTCTCCTGGCATAGATAAAGTAGCTCTGTTTCCTGTTGAGTTTCAGTCTGCTTTCATTACTAAGTAGAAGCCCCATATGACCCACACCAAAGACAAGTGTGAGAACAGATGCTTGAGCCCTAATTTCCTAGCCCACTGCAGTTCCCAGTTTTCTAACCACCCCAGAGGAAGCTCCTCAGGAGAGTGGCACCTGGATGAGCTCCAGGTGCTGCCTGTGGAGCTTGAGTGCAAAGGGTTGCCTGGTTCCAGCAAACAGTGTGGCAAGTAGATGGCAGGGCAGGCCCCACTGGGAGAACTGCTCGCCACTGTGGGCCAGGTACTGTACTCTACTGTGTACTCTGTTTTCTCTCAGCCTTTCCAACCATTCTAGGGAAGCAGTGTTCGGGGCCTACATAAGATTAGCCAGGTAAGTAGAAAAGATTATCTGTAAAAAGGCAACTTGGTACAGTATCACAGTATACAGGACGGTCTTAAAAACAATTAGCTGACATTAGTTATATAGGAAATTTCATTGTTACCATTCCACACATATGGAATGTATTCATTCCACTCAATCCGATCCACCCCCTCCACACACACCATCATTTTTCCAGTCTTCTCTTCCTATGATGGTCCTGATTTTTTGTTATTTTTTTAAATAACAAAAGAGTTCTGTACATTTCTCTTCCCTTTTCATTGGTGACGTACGTGTGTGTGTGTGTGTGTCTGTGTGTGTGTCTGTGTGTCTGTGATATCCAAATGGCTCAAAAAGCTCCTGTTCAGAGAGAAAAAAGAAAAGCTCCTGTGTTTTTATTGTCAAGACACAAGTTCAGGGTGTAACCTACTTAAGGTCATCCAGCTTGGGGGACTTGGGAAGGTCTGGCCCCAGCAGCTCCTGGGGCAGTGCTCCCAGACTTCTGAAGCCTGATCCCCTTCCCCTGGATGTCTCCCTGCTCCTCAAGAGCAGCTACCCAGAGTTCATGTCATAGGTGAGGGCACCGAGGTGGGAGCAGCACAGTCAGCTCAGAACACACAGCACAGTGAGACTTGGACCATTTGAGAATGAAGAAGACAGTGGGTTAGTGTATGATTTAGGCAAAGGGCCCAGTGCCAGGGAGCATGTGAGCTCACTTGTGAGCTTCCTCCAGGTGAAGGAGGCTTCAGGGAGTGCTGAGCCCAGGAGACTGTGAAGCTTGGTTCAGCAATGCTGTGGCAGAAGATGGTGATGAGAGACTGTACTTGCTGGCCTTGTGAGGGCAGGGGGAGGAATCTCGCCTGCACAGACTCACATCGTAGCAGTGTCTGCCCTTCACATTTGCACTCTATTCTCATCAAGAAGGAACACCAGCTGAGAGGAGTCACAAAGTCCCCTGGACTTCCAGATGCCAGCTGTGTGACCCCGTGCACACCACTTACAGTCTTTGAGCTTCTCTGCTATGGAGTGCCTGCTGTGCCTGACCGTGCCTGGCTTTCAAGAAAGCTTTTGGGTTTCTTTTTTCTCAAAAGCAGTGATCCACACAACAGAGCTTTTGAAAGGCCAGGAGTGCTAAACAGCCCATATCTGTTACTCCCTGGTGGCTCTGGCATGTATCTCTGGGTTGATCACAATACTGTCTGTCATTTCAGCTCAACAGCATTGGCAATTACTACAAGCCCTGGTTCTTCAAGCACGTGGAGAACTACCTGAAGACAAACCAGGAGGGCCTTGAGTACATTCCCCTGCGACACTACTACCACCGCCACACTCGCAGCATCTTCTGGGAGCTCCAGGTAAGGCTCAGTTTCCCTATGCTGTTGGCTCCTCTTGACCACCAGGAAGAGAACAGAGCAGTCAGCATTGTAGCCATGCTCTCCTCTCTTCAGGGAGGGAGCAGTGTTGTCCTGAGGGACCCCAACACCTTCTTAAAACTGCAATGCCATTGTTTCATTTTGAGCTGAGGAAATGGTCACCTGCAATGAGTGTGCGCCAGGAACTGGCCAAGGGTGTCAGGAGTGGAGCCAGACTCTGGGAAACATAGACCCACTCAACCCTTGGGAAACTTCCAGTCTCACCAAGCAGATGGATCCTTCCCAGTGTAGGAGGGCAGTAAGGAGTGGTATTGCTGGAATATATGGCACACCTGTGTCTTATTAATGAGCAACTACTGAAATGTTTAGCATGGTGGCTTCTACTAGCAATGTGTGGGTGCTGATTTTTCTACATCTTCAAAAACACATATTATTTCCTGATTTACAAATCATTAGTATAACCATCTTAGGGAATGTCAAGTGATACCATTGTGGTTTGAGTTTATAGTTTATTCTTGAGATACTGGGCATCATTTGATGTTCTTGTTGGCCATTTATTTATCTTTTATGGAGAAGTGTATATTCAGATTTTCTGACCATTTTAACTAGGTTGTATGGTTTTTGTTGTTGATAATATGTAAGTGTTCTTTACATATTCTGGATACTAGACTTTTCAGATAAATGATTTTCATGTATTTTCCTGTTCTGTACATTTCCCTTCATTGGTGACTCTTGCTATGTATGTTTTTAATTTAGGTGAGGTCTAACTTACCTATTTTTCATTCTGTTGTTTCTTTTATTTAAGACTAATATTACCAAATGCCAGGTCATGGAGATTTATGTCTCTGTTTTCCTCTAAGCTTTAAGGTTTCAGTTCTTATATTTAATGTTTTAACTTTCTTTTTAGATTGTTGATATTTATATACTGTGTGAGGCAGGACTTTGGCTCTACCCTTGTCACCTGCCAGTGGAGTTTTCTCAGCAGACAATGTGTGTTTGGAAGGCAGCAAGAGGCTGCTTAGCTGAAGCCATGATGTGGAGTGAGACCAGACAGCCGCCAAAGGCTGTATCACATGGCTCTTTATAGTCAAGCTGGGATTTATGTCTTATTCGAGATGTGAAAGATAGTCTGTGGGGACTTGGATCCAGAAAGTGACTTGCCCTAGTTTTTGTTTTAAAAGATTATCTAGGGACTGAAGGTATGGTTCAAATGAGAGTGCCTGCCTAGCAATCACAAGGCCCTGAATTTAAACCCTAGCACAGTTTAAATATATGTGTATATCTTTGACAGCTGAGTGGGAGTGGGCATGAAAATAGAAGAGGAAAGGAAGATTTCTGTTGTCAAGACTAGCAACTGTGGGAAGAGAAGTGATATCAGACCTGGGAAATATGGTCAGCCAAGGAGATTTAGACAGATTGGCTGTGGGCAGGTGATTGGTTGCAGGCCCAAGAACCAGATGGACAGTATGCCCTTGACTGCCATGAAAAGTGGGAGGAAGAATTTGAGAAAGGATTACAGGCATGGTGTTGTGGTGTTGTCTTGAGATGCTTCTCTGTGGGATGCTAGACTATGGGGTTCGGCAGAGACTGAGGCAACACATGAAAATGTGGGCAATCAGGAACAGGCAAGTTCTACTTACAGCCCTGGGCATAGATAAGAAAAGAAGGGTGTGGAAGCCTAGTCCTGAAAGTTTGAGAAGAAGTCAGCAGAAGAGAAGGTGCTATCAGTCAGAGGGAGTGGGAACTAGGAAAACATGGTGTTTCAAGAAGATGAGAACTGGGAAGATGGCTTAATGGCAGAGTATTTGCATGAAGCCCTGGGTTCAATTCCTCAGTACCACATAAACAGAAAAGGCCAGAAGTGATGGTGTGGCTCAAGTTGGTAGAGTGCTAGCCTTGAGCAAAAGATGCTTGGGACAGTGCCCAGGCCCTGTGTTCAAGCTCCACAACTGACCAAGAAAAGAAAAGAAAAAAAAGTAAGATGAATCATATAAAATAATATTTATCAAAATGAACTCCAGGAAATGGAAACGAGGTTTTTTGTCTTTGGTTTTCTTATCCTTTTTTCTTGTTTGTTCATTTATCTGTCTTTGGGAGGGGAAGAGGGAAGCAAGAAATGGTGAAGACAGTTGAACAAATGCAGCAGTGATACTCACTAGACACTATGTTGAAAATGAACTGTACAACTTGTGGGTGGGGATGGGAGGAAAAATCTGGGAAAGAATGAGGGAAGGGGTGACACTGTCAAAAGAAATATACTCTTTACCTGACATACACAGCCATATTTCTGTACATCACCTTTTTAGTAACAATAAAAAATAAAATAAATATTTTTAAAAGCTAGGCACTGGTGTTTTATCTCCAATTTTCCACCAGAAAACCAGAAGTAGAGCTATGGTTCAAAGTAGTAGAGCACTAATCTTGAGCAAAAAGAGCTCAGGGACAGTGCCCAGGCCCTGAGTTCAAGCCCCATGACTGACACACAAAGAAAGAAGACTAAGATGAGCACCTATGTCCTGTGCTGAGAGGGATGAGGATAGAGAAATGGCCTCTGGGACTTGGCCCTGGAGCAATCATCAGTGACTTTGAGGAGGATAGCCCTGACCTATGGGTTCTAAAGAGAATAGGAGACAAGGATGTAGAGATAGAACCAGTCTGAGAGGCTTCCTGCCAGGCAGTATCTGTGGACACTGAGTGACAGAGACCTGGGGCAGGGGTGTGGGACCAAGGGAAGGTGCCTTGTGTCTGTGCCAGATTTAAGATGGGAGAGGTGAGGCATGGTAATAAACCTATGCTGTTTGTTGATGGGAGGGGAAGAGTGACTGTGAGGGAAAGGATGTGTTTGGAGAAAGTGGGGATGCTCCTGTGCCAGGTACTGAGCTGGCCATATGGTGGAAGCATAATAGGAAGGAAGCTGCACAACTAACTGGGGAGGGTCACTAGGAACGAGGGGATGACTTGGTCGTGGGAGGGAGCGGGTACTCCCTTTTGATGGCCTGTAATTTCTCAGTGAAATGGGAGGCATGATTTCAGCTGGGGCAGGATTGCTGAAAACTCAGGGAAGGAGGATATGTCAGTTGTCTCTAACAGTGGGAATTCAACAGTTGGTACACTCCAGGATCAGCTGGCCAGCACTGAGACTGCTGAGACTCATGGTCCCGAGCTCACAATGAGGCCTATGTGTGCCTGTGTGTAGCTACATGGGAGGATGGGCAGGTGATGCTTGCAGTGGGAACTATGGAGACAGTGGCACTTGGGAAGACATCAAGACTGGAAGCCAGAAGGCAGGCTGTGAGGCAGGTGAAGAAGACCTCCAGGGAGGAGCTGGCTGGAGCAGACAAAGGAGATGGAGGCGGTTCTTTCCTCATGACTTGAGGACAGAGTTTCCAGGGAGGCAGGAAAATGGTTAGGCTCTGAGCAAGGAATCGGCAAGTAGGGCTCCCACTTCTCCCAACCCAGTTGGAGCTGTTCCCTGAGGAATGACCTTAGGGAACTGGCTTGAGCTCTGTGATTATCTCTCCCCCCCCCCCTGTTGCCGCCCCCCTCCCCCATATTCTTTGCTCAGTGCCTGCTCTGTGCCAGCCATTCTGACCTCAATAAGGAGTCCAGGATTGATGGCCAACTTCTCATTTTGTTCTAGGCATTAGTGTCTCGACACATTGTCTTATTAGCCTCCTAAGTCCCTTTCCATTGATAAAGAAGGTAAAATAGAAGCAATAAGTAACTAGCCCAAGGCCATCACAGTTGGTAAATGCCAGAGCTGAGATACTGAGGTTCTCCCAGGCAAAGCCCCAGGTCCCCTCAAGCCCTCCTGATCTGGGAAGGAAAGTGCCCTGATTTGTGTATGTTGAATTTGTGTATGTTGAGTGTGGAAAGAGGATCTGGCCCCAGCCCTTTGCACGTAGAAATGCTCTGCCTTTGGCTCCTTCCCCCATCCCCACCCTTTGTGTTTCAGGATATCATCCCCTTTGGAAACAACCCTGTGTTCCGCTACCTCTTTGGCTGGATGGTTCCTCCCAAGATCTCCCTCCTGAAGCTGACCCAGGGCGAGACCCTGCGCAAGCTCTACGAGCAGCACCACGTGGTGCAGGACATGCTGGTGCCCATGAAGTGCCTGATCCAGGCCCTGCACACCTTCCACAATGACATCCATGTGAGCTGTGCAGACAGGCAAAGGCCATGGGAGACACACCTTCTACCCTGAGCTTAGGGGACACACCTTGGTACCCCTAACCCTCCAGACCTTGGTTTGCCCAGCCATAAAATGAGATATGGCCTTCCCATGCTTCAGAGGCCTGACCTACTCACTGCTGGTCATAGGGCCTGCTGGTGAGCACTCCCATAGGGGGGAGTCAGAGTGCCTCAGCCAGGGCTCAAGCTGCCAAGGGGCCCCTAGAGGGTGGCTGCAAAGCTTCCCTTTGAGTAAGTGGTGAAATATAGGCACAAGCCTGTCACCCACTGGAATAAAAGCCCCAATACCCACCTCTCTGACCTCTCTAGGTCTACCCCATCTGGCTGTGCCCATTCATCCTGCCCAGCCAGCCGGGCCTGGTGCACCCCAAGGGAGACGAGACAGAGCTGTACGTGGACATTGGTGCCTACGGGGAGCCACATGTGAAGCACTTCGAGGCCAGGTCCTGCATGAGGCAGCTGGAGAAGTTTGTGCGGAGCGTGCATGGGTGAGTGGCTCAGGACACAGCCGTACAGCCTCTCACCCACCTCTCCTCCCTACATCCTCTCCTGATGCTGCCTCCTGTAGCCTCACTCTGTGTTTTCCTGTGCAGATTCCAGATGCTGTACGCCGACTGCTACATGAACAGAGAGGAGTTCTGGGAGATGTTTGATGGCTCCTTGTACCATAAGCTGCGGAAGCAACTAGGCTGCCAGGAGGCCTTCCCCGAGGTATATGACAAGATCTGCAAGGCTGCCAGGCACTGACCGGGGCCTGTCGCCCGGAGAGACCAACAAGTGCAGTGGAAACGTTTTCCCTTTGCTCCAGCTTGGCTGCTTTCTCAGACCCACATTTTCAGAATGAAACCCCACCAGAAATCCTACCCAGACAGTGCTGCTTCTGGGAAGCCGAGTTTCCAGGATAGCTCAGGCTAGTGGAAAGACCATGGGATTTGGAATCCGACAAATCTGAGTGCAAGTCCCAGTTTAGAACTCTCTGTGCCCCAGTCTCTTCATCTATCCTACTTGCTGGATATCTTCTAAGTCAAGCACCTGTCACACAGAAGCTCCAGAAGCAGTAGCTGTTTCTTCATTGCTTCCTCTTCAGCATCACATCTGACTAAAGTACTGTGGACTCAGTGGTTGAGTCCAGAAAGTTCCCCCCTCTCCCAGATTAGGTCACCTGTGCACAGGTTTGGCTAGAATGATGAAGGGGACACCCTGGAATAGCAATGCCACTGCCTGGGTCAGCCAGAAGAGCCCCTTGCAGGGAGAAGGAAGGCTCTGACTCTTTGGATCTCAGGGGGGCTGCATGTGGGACAGGCAGGCCCATGTGCTGTGCCAAAGCCAGGTCCATTCCAAAGTTCCCTCTGTCATCTCTGGTGACATCCTGCCTCTTTCTCCTGTGTGCTTGGGCCTGCTGGCTGCCCCAGCCATCTGCACATCCACTCTTGTTTACTGTGTTCCTGTAGAAGGCATCTTGAGATGGATTCCATCCTGGCCTGGGCCCATTCTTCCTAGCTCTAGCCCGCCAGCCTCCTCATACCCCCGCACCACTAGAGTGGGCCATGTGCGCTGCTCTGCCAGATGGGGAGGGGGTGGTACCTAGTGGGAAAGTGGCACTCTCCATGGTGCTTCCATTAGGAGGCTCACTGTGGGGCAGGAAGCAAAGAGCTTCACTGATTTCTCTAGCCCCTGATTCCCCTTTTTGTTCCCCTGCCCCAGCTGTAGCTAATTTCAGTGCCTTAACAAATCCTGAGCTCAGAGAAAGTTAGCTCCGTTTCCGTTCCAGAGGGAAGGAACCTCCTGAGGTCCTTTCTGCCTTGTTACTGAAGTGTGGTTGTTTGTGCAACTTCAGCTTAAGAACTGCCCCGCCCTGCTGAGAACCCACAGTCTGAAAGGGAATGGAGTTCTGGAAGGGAAGCCAGAATTCAAGAGCTGAGCCAGGCTGGTCACAGCCTTGATGCGTTGGAGTCAGGGACCTGGCTTTTGGTCCCTGCTCTGCTGTCACCAGGCTGTGTGGCCACGGGCACGTCATTTGTCCCTGCAAGCTGCAGTTTCTTCACCTGTCACATTGGTACAGATAAGACCTCCCTGGAGCCTTTCTGCCTCACATACCAGGGTTGCAAAACTCATGGAAAACCTTGTTTTGTGTTGAAATTCTGAGAAAGACTAAACAATCCAGGTGACGTTTAGGGATAGTTCATCATTTACAGTCCTTCTTTCAGCCCAGGGCCAGCTCCCATCCCATTTTCGGAATGGCTCATCTATGACTGGCAGGCAAGTGTCCATCTTGTCCTTTCAGGTGCCAAAATCCTCTTAGAATCCCACCACCCATGGCCTCGTGTTGCAGTGTCAGCATGGTCTGTGGGAATTGGTCCACTTGCACTCAGAAAGCAAGAGAATCCCCTTAGTCTTTTGGCCTCTGGAGGAGACAGGAAAAAGTAAGTCTCACTCCAGTCTGCAGAGCATGCAGATTTTGCCGTGGGCTCTGCTAATAAGTCCATGTGTATTCTGGCTTGGTACTAGACTGATGACTCTACTTGCTGTAGATGAATGGTTATCCTGAGCTAGATCAGTCCAACAGTGAGCATGCCATCATTTCACCAGATGCCTGAAGCTTATATCTCCCTTAGACCCATAGCCAAAATCCAGTCCATCAAAGACCCTACCCAGGACCTAGGGCTTAGAAGGTTATGATCACACTAGCCTCCGATTACAGTTTGGTTCTAGTAGCATCTTGCCTAGAAAGGCAGTCTTCCAGAATGGTGAGCTGAGATCCAGCTTATCTGTCCACACAGTGGCTTTGGGTAGGGTTCAAGTTGGTGCCAGCGGCATGTGGAAAGGAACATTCAGCCTCTACCCATCCAGAGCCCTTGGGCTGGGGCTAGGATGATGTGTTGTTGGTGTTATTGAATGGGAAGAGACGGGTGGGATGGGTGTGCAAGTGTGTGGTGTGTAATCTTTATTCTCCCCCTCCCCCTCTTTGGTCATAGAGACCAAGGAAAAAGGCATGAGGCTCCCCCATCAGGATCTTGTAGCCACAGGTACTGTGCCTTCTCTAAAACACACTCCTGTGGCTATGGGTCTGCCGCTTCTGTAAAAATAAAGTTTGACCTGGAAGATAGTCTTTGTCCTTTCTTTATCAAGAGACAACAGTACAGTCAGACCAGGATTCAGATGTAGGTTGTGCAGTTCCCAACTAAGATATTCTTTCTGAACCCAGGTATCCACAGGCAAGAGCTAAAAATGTATGGGTGAGTGATACATTTGGGTCTTAGTCCCATCTGACTTTACTTAAGACTGATGACTTGGGTCTGTCTAGCAATGAAAATGTCATTTCACCAGTAGAGTCCCTCTAACAAAGTGAAGGGCAGGGTTCAGATCATGAAGGGGAAGCAGTAAGACAATGAGGCAAGGTTTCAGTGAGAGATCGCAGCAGGTCAGGGAGAGTGCCATCCTTCAAAGGCAACAGACATGCCACCAGATGGCAGCAGGACATCTGGCTCCGGTCCCATGTCTGTTACTTGGTTATGACCAACTAATTTTGACAAGCTAGTACTCCTGTAAGAGTGTTTCTTCATCTATAAACTGGTGGGAAAACACTAGCTGTCCACAAGGCATTCCATTCCTCAGCCTTCCCAGTGCCAGATGCATCTTTAGGTTAAGCATCTCTCCCATGGATAGGAAAAAAAGTTCATGTCTGTTCTGGCTCCCATGCATTCACTGGAAGCAAATGACCAGTGACATAAGTAGCTGTCTTAGGTCAGAAGCTTGGATCCCTGACTCATTGTGTAGAGAACTACCTACCACCCAGAACTCTACTATGGGCTATTATGGAAGTGAGAAATAAACTCATAGTTGAGACCTCTATATACTCGAGTATTGTTAGAGCAACATAACACCCCAACTGTCAGTGTGGTGCACTTCAGTGAAGAGAGGTAATTCGTTTAATACCATAAGGTTTTATGCAAATACAAAAATAGGCATTTCCCTAGAATATGTGTCTTATTCTAAAGTTGGCTGCAGGGATCTCGGTAATTCCTTTTCCAGTTAAGTTTTGCAAATTAGATTTTGTGTATTGTCTCTAAAGGGCAAAGTCTTTCATGTTAGCTTAGATCACCAACAAAATACCTGAGACAACTCGCAAAGGAAAGTTTATTTTGGCTCAGTTTTGGAGGTTCCAGCCACCATCAACTGGCTTAGTTATTTTGGAGCTGGAGCAAGAGAGCCTGTCAGAGTGGACATGTAGTTGAGGGAAATTCACAAGACAGGGATCAAGAGGGAGAGCAAGTCCCAAATCTAATGACATAGACCTCCCATTAGGCCTTGCCTCTTAAAGGCCCCACCACCTCCTAACTGTACCAATCCAGGGATCGGGCCTTTAACATGTAGACCTTTGAGTGTTCCAGACCAAGTCTATAATATTTACTAAAACAATGTTTGCCGCTTCAGCCCTAAATATCATTCGATACTTGAATTGCATATAACATGTTACTTAATCCCCATTGTGGAAAGGGAGGCTCAAGAAGTCAGGTGAGTTGTCAAAAAAAACACACCGAGGCTACTAACGAGTTAGATTACATCAGGTGCTAGCGCAGATGGCCTTCTGGACTAAAGAGCAGCAGTTTTGTGTTGGGTAGTCAGGGTTCACTGTGCTGACTTGGCTCAGAAAGGAGGCACACTGGTGGTCAGCAAAGAGTGTTCTGCTTTGACCCAGAGCAGTTGCTTCAGTGAGGACCCCCTCCAGCCCAACTGGCAATGTCAAGATACCAACATTCATGCCAAGGCTACCATAATTGGTTTTCCAAATGCCACTATTAGAACAAATCAAGCCAGGTACTGGTGGCTCACAGCTGTAATACTAGCTACTCAGGTGGCTGAGATCTGAGGATTGCAGTTTAAAGCCAGCCTGGGCAGGAAAGTCCCTGTGAGACTCTTCACTCCAATTTATCACCAGAAAACCAGTAGTGGAGCTATGGCTCAAAGTGGCAGAACACTAGCCTAGAGCACAAAAACTCAGGCACAGCACCCAGGCCCTAAGTTCAAACAGCACAATCAATAGGAGGAGAAAAATTCATACACATACTGTTATCCCTAAAGACCTAACTCTGGGAAACCCTACAGGCCTGACTTTGGTGCAGCTGGTTTGGTCCCAATGGCTGGACACGACCTTGTAGTCAGCAGTCTCCTAATATGAGGCCCTGCTGAGCTTCCAGAACCATCCTGGAATGGTTACAGAACAATCCTGGAGGCCTAACACTGCCCTGTGACTTCAGCCATTCTCTGCCACCTCCATCTGAACTTTAGTAAGTACCAGCACTCTGGCTTTGAATAGATGGGAGTTCCATGGAGTCATTCATATTCAACCCTCTGGTCCATCTGCTGTCTGATGTCCCCAACTAGAAGTCTCATGACACTTGATCTCTTTTAACAAAAGATACCTGGCCTTGGCTGTCCCAATAGGTATTGTGACTTAGGTACATAGCTGCACCAAAGGTAGCCCCTCCCACCTCTCTTAGGCAGTCTCACAGTCTTCTCTAAAACCCGTTGTTCCCACTGCCATCTTCCTGCCTCCAGATTTATCTTCAGGCCTTGGGCCCTCTGGTCACCATAGCTGTCCTTTCCAGGTAGCTTTAAGGAGCAGGATCTGAACTGTGATCCACAGTTGGTTGGTACTTGCCCTTCGTGAAAGGTGTGATCCTTTCCCTTTAAAAAGACAGAGAAGCTGGATGTGATCACTTGGAAGGCAATGGGCTTCCACTCACAGAAGCCAAGTGGGTACCTGTCAGCTGTGCCCTACAGGGAGGCCTATACTGGGTGAGAGGCCAAAAAATGGTGAGCTCCAGACTTTTTGCACCAAAAGGCCCATTCTCAGGAAGACACCCTCTATTTTCCACTCATTTCAGCTCATCAAAGCATTCTGATTGGTGAGTGAGAACAACCAGTGAAAGATCATCCACCCCAACCCTGGTAGGGAAATGGAGAACCCAAGAGAAGAGGTGAAATCACTACAACAGTCAAAGCCAGGGCCAGAATACATGCCTGGACTTCATGATCTGAGTCCCATGTTTCTCCTACTGCTTTGACTCTGTCTTGGGAGTGACATGCCTAAAGACCTGGTCCCCATCCTGTGAGCCATTTGGAAGATGGCATTCTCATAGGAAGGACCAGGGGCTATGTCCAACAGCATCCACCAGCTGTTATCTTCCTTCTTCCTTCCTCCCTCCTTTCCTCCCTCCCTCCCTTTTGTCCCCCCTTCCTTTTCCTTCTTCCTTCCCTCTTTCCTTTTTTCCTTCTTCCTTCTTCCTTTCAATTCTTTTTTCTTCCTTCCTCTATTCCTTCCTTCCTTCCTTTCCTTCCTAACTTCCTTCCTTCTTTCCTTTGTTTCCTTTCCATTTTTTTTTCTTTTGAGTGTATGTGGCCAAACCAATGTCTTTGCACATGCTAGACAGGCATTCTACCATTAAGTTACACCACCAGCTGTGCATTTGATTATTGTCTTCTCCGCCAAATATGAAACTCTAAGAAGGCAAGATTGAGATTTTCCTTGGATCTTCCCTTCACCTCAGTTGTAACCCATGAATTAGCAAGCATTGTACAAATATAGTCAAAGAAAGGGAAGAAGGAAGATTGAAAAGAGGCAAAGAGGGGTCAGGAACAGGGGACCTTTCCTGCTAAACAGTGGATCTTGGCTACTCACTGCTCACTGTCCCCAGTGTCTCTGGCCTGGCCCAAAGCCTTATCTCTCATCTGAACCTTAAGACTGCTTCCTTGTCCCTATCCACCCTCCCCCCACACACACACTCTATTCTTTGACACAAGAATGCCAGAGCATTTTTAAACACACCAGTTACTTCCCATTGAAATCCTGAGTGTCTGGCAGAATTATTTGCAAAATATATGTCTAAGAAAAGACTTCTGAGTGGTGCTATGGCTCAAGTGGTAGAGTGCTCACCTTGAGCTGAAGAGCTCAGGAACTCTGTGTTCAAGCCCCATGACTGACCAAAAAAAAAAAAGACTTCTGTCTAGAATATATACATACATTTTAAAACTTGACATAAAAAAGCAACCCATTTTTTTATACAATGTGAAAAAGATTTGAAAACATTTCAGCAGAGAGTTTCAATATGCTGTCATTGGAAAATGCAAATTCAAACCATAATGAAATATACCATTAGGACGGCTGGAATGTTTTTTTTTAATCTGTTAATCTCAAATGCTGAGGTTAGATTCCTTGTACACTGCTGGTAGGAAAACACATTAGGTCTGAGATGTAGCTGAGTGATAAGATTATTTGTCTAGCATACACAAGGTCCTGGGTTCAATTCCCAGCACTGAAAAAAATGAAACAACACAGGAATACAAAATAATAGAGCCATAGACTGTGAGGCAGCGTTCATCATTCCCATTCTACAACTGAGAAGAGACAACATAGCCTATGATAGGAGATGACCAAGGTAAGATTCATCTCAAGGTCCACACACTTGTCAGAGGCCAGATGGAAATCCAGGCTAATCTAAATGAAGCCACCAAGCAGACCACCATGGATGGAGCAGAGTCCAGGCTCCCCACTGGGACCTGAATTATAAATGCTGTAATCTCCTGGGAAATAAGATGGACTGGCTTATAAGCAGCACAATCCCATTCTTCCCCATTCCAGGGCTCAATTTTGTGGTCTATCATAAAGTTTCATAACCCTGTAAGGGTTCCCTAAATGTCAACTGGAAATTCATACATAATGAGGCAAAGGTGAGTCCCAACCTAACTGTCCCTGCCAAGGACACATGCTAAATACTTGCTCACTAACTGCAGCACTATTGAAAGGCGGTGGAACCTTTAAGAGGTGGGTCTTACTGTCCCTGAGCTCTTCAGCTCGAAAGCACTCTACTACTTGAGCCACAGCACCACTTCCAGTTTTCTGGTGGTTAATTGGAGATAAAAGTCTAATGGACTTTCCTGCCCAGGCTGGCTTTGAACCATGATCCTCAGATCTCAGCCTCCTGAGTAACTAGGATTACAGGCATGAGCCACCAGCACCTAGCAAATCTTTTCTTTAAATTGATGTTCTCAGGTAGTTTTTTACAAAAGAAAACTAACAACAACACCTGTATTACATCTTCACATGGATCTTTCCACAGATTTCCTCCCAAATTGTGATACTTTGATTTGCAGCTAAGAAACCAGACTCCTGTATAAAGACTCCACAGATTCAATCCCACCCCCACAGAATCCACTTGGCTTCTTTCTTCCCCTTCCCTTTCCATTCCTACCCCTGACTGTCTAGCCACTCTGGACATGCCTCCAGGCCCACATTAGCAGCTTGGAACATCATCCATCTTTCCAGGCAGACTTGAACATTTCTCACTCTGTCCTTCACAGTCTCATGGGGCGCAGCCAAATCCTCTGTCACATATCGGATGCTGGATCCACCACTCCCTTCTGCCCCATTTGCCTGGGAACTGCCGAGAGCTCAAGCCCAACAGTATTCACTCAATTTAATTGAATCATCCACTTTTTTTTGTCTCCTGCTCTCCTGTCCCTTCCTAAGGCCACCATTTTCCTGCAGGCCAGGGAGGCTCTTCCTCCAGCCCATGCAAGGAGCACATTGCACAATACAATTTTCCTACATCTTCCTTACCAGCCCAGAAATATACTCATCTCTATTCTCACACACCCCAGCAAAACACAGAAAGGGAGGTAAAAATAAAGGAAAGAAAGAGAACAGGAAGGAAAGGAGGGCTCTGGCTCTCTTGGGGCTAAGTCCCTTTCTTTTGGAGGGTGGGTGGCACTCTGTTGTCTCCATGGCAACCACTTGACTTCTGTGCTGCACAGCAGCAAATGGATGGTAGGAGTTGAGGAGGAGTAGCAGGGGACTTTGCATATTGAGCTTGCCGAGTCTCTCTTTCCCACCCATACTTCTACCTCACCAAAATGGCACACACACAAAAGAGATCAGATGAGAACAAGAACAGGTAGGGTGAGGCAGGAAGGCACATCAGTGAAGGCCAGCTCTGCCTCTATCTTCCTGGGCTCACATAACCTTCCCCCTGACCTCAGCTTCCAGAAGGCATCCAATTGAGAAAGCTGTCTGGGCATTAGAAGAGCACCCTAGTCCTCCTTCCCATCTGTTCTTCTGATTTCTTACAGCTGTGGAGAGCAGGGGGAGCACATCTTGAGAAGCTGGGAGCCGCTCGGGGGCACCACTTCTGTCTTGGCTCTGCCCTAGCATCCCAGGATCTAGGTTGGTGCCAGCAAATATTGATTGCTCAGCAGCTCCAAGGAAAGCAGGGACCAATGCCACATACCAGCAGTGACTTGGGTAAATCATGTTCTCCCTGCCATCTTCAATTATTCAAGGGAAACTCGCTGAAATTAACATCTGCCCTTTGGAGTTCTTGCAAGTGGTCAGCAGCACACACAAATGTAGTACTACAAATAAAGAATGTAGTATACATTCTTTGTTATAAAGAATAGACATCTGGGATTTTAATTTCTGATTTGGGAATCATGAATGAGTTTTCTATTGTAAAAAAAAATTACCATGTGTATGCTAAAGTATTTAGAAAGAAGAATACTGGTAACTGGCATTTCCTTTGAAACTTATCAAAAATAGAAGATGATAGGGCTGGAAATGTAGCTCAGTGGTAGATCGCTTGCCTAGCATGTGCAAGACCATGAGCACTGAAAAGTAAAAGATGATTAGTAGATGGATAGAGAGACAAGTAGACAGAAAGACACGTCATAGAGCAAAATGGGTAAAACAATAATACAGTCTAGCAGAGATGTAGCTCAGGTGGTAGAGGGCTTGCCTGGGCTCAATCCTCAGTAATAAGAAGGAGTAAGGGAGAGAGGAAGAGGAGAGGAGAGGAGAGGAGAATTTCTCTGGATTAAGTACATTTTATTCCTCTATAAAGGATTTGCCACAGGCTGAAGCATGGTTCAGAGGGCTCACAAAGTAAATTCAAACCCTTGAGTTCAAATCTCAGTGTCACAATTTACCCCTCCTATAAATAAATAAAGCACAGAATTTGACAAGGCATAGCAGCTAAACAGAGAGAGAAAGAGGAAGCTGTCATTTGCAACATACTTATAGGTATCTACAACATCCACAGGGAAAGCACACTCTCTTTCCAGACTCCCAAGTCCTTACAATGGGTGCAGGTGTGGGGATGGCCCGGCAAAGACAAAATTCCAGTACCTGCTGCCTTGCTCACCAGCTTTGTGATTTGGGGCAAGGTATTAGCCTTCTTCCTCTCTCCAGTCCTGGTGTGATACATGGCTAAGCATCTGGGACAGCAAGGGGAAAAGCACCTTTGCACATTAAAGGTCTTCCCTAGGACTGGCCATCAAAGAAGGCAAATGACTCCCTTCCGAGAGCTACTATTAAGGACTTTTCTAAAAACAAAAGAAGAAAGTGAGAGGAGGTGTGAGGGGACAAAAGAGTTGGAGGTAGCAGGAAGGTAAGCAGAGCCCATGAGGCCAAAGAGCAAGTAGCAAGGGAGACCATCTCCTACCTCCAAATTTCAGGAAGGCCCAGGGACTTCAGGCAGACATGACCCCCCACCAGCTCCACAGCAGGAGATAGGAGGTTAAATTTGTGCAGAGGGTCCAGACAAGGAAGAGACAGAGGAAGCAGAAGGAAGTGAAGAGACTTCAGTAGTCTGCCCAGCCTCCTTCTCCAAAGCATGGTACTGACTCTCTCTTAGGATGTAAGATCTTTCCTAGAGAAATCCAATAATCCCAGAGAAAGTTTTTGAAATATGACAACTGAATGACTAACCTCTAGCCAGTAATACCCCCACCACACACCTGCTGCTGCCGCATTCATGGCATAGATAGCTTCTTATTCACGAATGTAGAGAAAGTTGTTGGAATTGGAGATAAAACAGGTGACAAAGGAACTTCAGAAAAACTATAACTAACACCCTTAGAAGAACATACTGCAAACATATAGAACTGGGTGCTATTGAGAGAGAGAGAGAGAGAGAGAGAGAATGAGCAATCCACAACTCTTGGATACCAAAAAAATGTGATAGCCAAATATTTTAAATGCAATAGTAGGATTGGAAAACAAGAGCTACATAAAACTTACCAGAAAAAAGTAGAATGGAAAAGGCATAGAAGGAATGAGATGGGGGGGGGGGCACAAAAACACTAGCACACTAGCATACCAAGCCAAAACATTTTAACATTTTTCCAAAAAGAGAGAAATGAAGCCAGGCATGATAAGTTCATGTCTGTACTCCCAGCATTCATGATGAAGAGGCCGAGGCTACAAAGCAAGACAGGGTCTATTGATGGGGATGATAGATGACTGACTGACAGACAGACAGAGACAGACAGAACAAAAGGGACCGAGTTTATAAACACAAGGAGTCCACTAATAGCCAGGACAATGGGTGAAAAAAGACCACATGAAATCTAACCATCATGAACTTTCAGAACATTAGAGACAGAAGGAAGATCCTGGAATCCTCCAGGAAGAAAAGGCAGATTAAATACAAAGAAAAGAGCAAGACTGGCATTAGTCTTCTTCCCAACTTCACTGAAAGCTAGGAAGCATGGAGCAAAGCCCTCCAAATTCCTAGAACGCTATGTCCCACCAAACTCAGGTCAGCTGTGCAGGTGGGAAACTACAAAGCATTTTCAGACACGGAGTCTCTCAAACACCTTGCCTCCACTGCCCTTCACAGGAATTTTCCATAGAGAGGGAGCAAATCAATGGGGAAGGCACAGGATGACTTCAATGAAAACAAAATATTTTAAATTATACCCCAAAACTGGTTTCCTTGGCAATCTGGCCCCAGCATCTGCTTCTCATGCTTTCTCCACTGTTTCAAGAAAACAGAAAGCTCACTTCTAAAGTACATGTTCAGTCACAATTTATAATTTTTTTAATTGAGATGATATTACAGCTGATGGCCAAGAAAATATGGGAGCTCTAATATTTGTCAGCTCCTTTATAATTTTCCATGGTTTCCAATGGATCTTTTCTAGGCTTCACAACTTTTTTTTTTTTCTGTCAATCATGGGGCTTGAACTCAAGGTCTGGGCACTGTCCCTGCGCTCTTGTGGTCAAGGCTAGTGCTCTACCACTTGAGCCACAGCTCCACCTATGTTCTTTTCTTTCTTTTTTTTTATTCTTTCTTTCTTTTTTTTTTTTTTTTGGTCGGGTTATGGAGCTTGAATTCTGGGCTGGGTGCTGTCCCTTAGCTCTTCAGCTTAAGGCTAGCACCCTATCACTTGAGCCACAGCACCACTTCCGTTTTCTGGTGGTTAAATGGAGATGAGTCTCAAGACTTTCCTTGCCTGGGCTGGCTTTGAACCATGATCCTCAGATCTCAGCCTCCTGAGTAGCTAGTATTACAGGCATGAGCCACCAAATGCCCGGCTCCACTTCTGTTTTTCTTGTGGTTAATTGGAGCCAAGAGTTTCGTGGACTTTCCTGCCCAGCCTGCCTTTGAACTGTGATCCTCAGCTTCCTGAGTAGCTAGGATTACAGGCATGAGCCACTGGCACCAGCATAACTTCTTAACATAAATTTTACTAACCCATTCTGAACACCCATTCCCAGGGCAAAACCACTCAAAGGCAACACCTAGACCATGTGAGTTATGGTTGGTATAGAACAAGTACCTCTTCCTGAGTTTTAGAGAGCTCTCCTGAGTCTCCCCATCTACCTACCATCTCATTTGCGAGCTAAAAGAAATGAGGCTCAGAGAAGTTAATTAACACTGTCTAATTAACATAGCCTGTGCTGTCTCTGCACTGCCTGAAGTGTGGCTGGCATTAGCCATGCTCCCTCAAGAACCAAAAATAGTGGCTGGGAGTGGCTCAGTGGTAGAGTGCTGGCCTTGCATGCATGAGGCCCTGGGTTCCATTCCTCAGCACCACATAAGAAGAAAAAGCTGGAAGTGGTGCTGTGGCTCAAGTGGTAGAGCACTAGCCTTCAGCTGAAGAGCTGAAGGACAGGGCCCGAGACCAGAGTTCAAGCCCCATGACCACCACCACCAACAACAACAACAATAAATAAATAAAGAATCCCAGCCCACAGTAGGTCAGTCCTTCCTGCCCTTGGACCCTTACCTGACATTGAAACTGCACTTACTTCAAGAGCCTGTCGCGGACCGGATTAAAAGGGTAGCGCTTAGCTGGAGCCAGGTACAGGGACCGGTATCGCTGCCTTCTGTCCTTGCTCTCCATCAGGGTGGTGTTAAGGTAGCGGCCCACTGCTACTGGGTTCTGCATCAAGGAGAAGATGGCAGGATTTTAGCAAGCATGGATTGGAGACTTGAGCTCAGGTTTCCTTCCCTTCTGACCATTCATACCCCAACCATTATGAGTAGAATTGTGTCCCACCAAAACAATAACAACAACAAACAACAAAGATTTGGCCAGGCACTGGTGGCTCATGCCTGTAATCTGAGCATCAGGGTTCAAAGCCAGCCCGGCTTAGGAAAGTCTGGGAGACTCATCTCCAGTGAACTCCAGAAAATCAGAAGTGGCGCTGTGGCTCAAGTGGTAGAGCGCTAGCCTTGAGCTGAAGTGCTCAGGCACCCAGACCCAGAGTTCAAGCCACACAACTGATTTTAAAAAAAAAGAAAGAAAGAAACCCAAAGATTTGCTGAAGTGCTTTGGACTGTGACCTGATTTGGAAATAGGACTGCTGCCGATATAACTGAGATGAGATCATGCCAGAGCAGAGTGGTACTCTGGTCCAACAGGACTGGTGTCTTTATAAGAACAGACACTGTGGGCTGGGAAGGTGGCTCAGTAGTAGAGTGCTTGCCTCGCATGCATGAGGCCCTGGGTTCGATTCCTCAGTACCACATAAGTAGAAAAGGCTGGAAGTGGCGCTGTGGCTCAAGAGGTAGAGAGCTAGCCTTGAGCTGAAGAGCTGAGGGACAGCACCCAGGCCCAGAGTTCAGGCCCCACAACTGACCAAAAAAAAAAGAGCAGATATTATAATACAGAGGCAGAGGAATGCATTTACCAGGCAAGACTTGCTGGCTACCACCAGAAGCTGCTGAGAGGTTTCGAGGTTGCTGACTCCAAGATTTCAGCCTTTTGTTCTCCAGAGTTGTGAAAGAGTACACCTTTGTTATGCAAGCTACCCCTAGTCCACCTTCCCATCCAGCTATCTACCCAACACAGAGGTTTAGAGAAGATGACATGACTTGCCAAGATGACAGAGTGAAGGAGAGTAAAGGCAGAACAGGAACCTTGCCATCTGAGGAGATGGGCCAACAAGGGGAAAGGAAGGTAATAGGACCCAAAGTCTTGGCCAATGTCAAAACCATTGCCTTCAGCAGAAAGGAATCTGAAGAGAAGGACTCCCTGCTGGAGATGTCCAAAGAGGGCCTTCCTGTCCTGCCATTGGAACCAGCTCTCGAATCAGCCCTTCCACTTCAGATGGTTGACCCTGCGGTAGAGCACAGCCAGCTGGCTCTAGTCTAAGCTATACTTGGGGTGCCTGAGGACTCAGATAATGGGGTGTGTGGAATGGGACAAAGCAGGAGCATCAGGAGAAAGCAGGTAAATTACAATTATAATTGTATGTGAATTTATTTGCATATAATTTATATGTAGATCAGATACAAATTATATATATGTATCTTAAGAGCACGTGTTATGGTTTAGACGAGATGTTGATGGGTTGCAGGGTTGGTGGTGCTATTGAGAGGTGATTGGAAGCTGAAGGCTCTGCTTTCCTCAATAGATGAATCCATTGAAGACTTCCTAGCTGAATGGGCTATTGTGGGGCAGGGCTTAATTGGAGGAAGAGACTGTGGCATTTGAAGGGACCCTGGGATCATGGCCACCTCTGTCTCCCCACACTCCCCTCTCCCTGGCTTACATGAAGTGACCAGTTTTCCTCCACCAAAGGCCTAAAAACAAAGGAGCCAAATGCCCATGGACTTAAACTTCAGAGACCATGAGCAAAAAAGTTCTTCCTTAAGTTGGTATCTCTCAGGTACACATTGACAAAAAGCAGTAAAACAAACCAGGAGACACCTTCAAAATAGCAAGCCAATTAGCACCACATAAAACTCCCTGCAGGGGCCAGGGAGTGTGATCTGAGCACTGGGGGTGGGGTGGGGGCCATCAGGGGGGGATGCAGGATCAAGCCAATTTAATAGACACTTAAGATTTGTGCATCTGGGTTGGGAATGTGGCTTAGTGGTAGAGTGCATGCCTAGCATAGTTCAAGCCCCAGCACTGGCAAAAATAAAGAACCCAGGGTCTTGTGCATACTAGGCAAATGTTCTACTACCAGGCTACATCCCAATCCTCAGATGTGTGATCCTTAGACTCCAATAACAGGTGTCCTTAAAACCTTTAATGGAGAAGTGAAGGAGAGAATGATGTCAGTGTCCAAAGCCATTTGTGGACATTAAGCCAGACACTGGTGGCACACACCTATAATCCTAACTACTCAGAAGACTGAGATCTGGGGATCACGGTTCAAAGCCAGCCCAGACAGGAAAGTCTGTGAGACTGATCTCCAATAAACCACCAGAAAACTGGAAGTGTCACTGTGGCTCAAGTGGTAGAGCATTAGTCTTGAGCTGAAGAGCTGAGGGACAGCGCCCAGAGTTCAAGCCCCACAATCAACACACAAAAAAATAGAAGGCATGCACACAAAACCTAGGAACTGGCCTGTTCCAAAAGAACACAAACACTCTAAAGCTTACATCACACACACACACACACACACACACACACACACACACACGGAAGAGAAAGAATGCAGAAGAGGGAAGAAGACAGGAGTGACACTTGCTGACCCAGGGATAAGAAATGGATCAACTCTACTAGCTAAACCTAAGGCTGCAAGACAAATATGACAGACTAGCAGGAGCATTTCTCTGCAAAATAAGAGAATAGGGTGGCTGCACAGAGAGTGGGAGCTCTCTTAGCTCCTTGGTTCTAAAAGTATGGGGCACCATCACTGTCATCTGGGAGCTGGTTAGACATGCAGATTCCAGGCCTACTGTATCAGAAGTCCAAGCATGGGGCCCTGCAATCTGGAAAAAACACAAGGCCTCCAGGGAACCTGCTACCTGCTCAAGTAGGGGAAGCAGTGCCTTGTAGAAATGAGACATGAATGGGGCAGAAAGAAGTGGCACCAAGCCCTCTAACATCAGTGCCCAGAAGCACGGAGTATAGCAGCAAGAGAGAATTCCCTGCCCATCACCATGAACCACACAGCCCCACCCACCCCAGTCTAACTCACCCAGCTTCCTATAACCATCATGGAAGCCTTTGACCGCTTGGAGGTCAGGAGGAATGGTGGTGAGTTGACATGTTTGGATGTTGGTTCTCGAGGGACGAAGAAGCCAGGGCCAGATGTGGCCTAGAAGTAAGGAAGGACATCTGAGAGCCCTGGTAGTGCTCAGCCCGGGACAGAGCATCTGCTCAGCAAGGCTGAGACTTCAACCAAGCACAGGGGAGGTGAAGGGGTCCCTAGTGCCCTCAGAACCCATGCACCACTCTAAGCTCCTCAGCCTGATATCTCTATGTAAGGTTCCCAGGAACTCTTGTAGTTGGGCAGGTCCCCAGGCCTTCGAGCTCCACAGCTGGGTTCCAGTGCAGCTCTTCCCACTCAGCTCTTCCTATCTCCAGGGCAGATCCCCTCCTAACTTGGGCCAGCTTTCCTTTTGTGAAATGCAAATACTGATCCTAAATGGGAAAGTGGCTACCAGGTGTTCAGGAAGTGTTGATTCCCACCTCCCACTGCCATTCAACCCTTTCCCATATCCTTCAGAGCATACTCTCTGCCTTGAGGCCTGACTTAGCACAGGATCTCCTATTACCTCCAGGGAGAATGGCGCCGAACCAGGCAGCGCTTGAGGCTACCTGGTCCAGAACCCATAGGAACACCACCTAACACAGTCCTTAGGTCATGCTCCATCCTGGCCCCGTCTCCCCTTGGCCTCTCTTCAGCTCTTGAGGGCCAGGACCCTTCTTCAGGATGGAGATCCACACGGGCTGGCACTTCCTGAACAACCAGTCGCCATGCTGTAGGCTCCAAGCATGGAATGCCATGTAACCCATAAGCACTCTCTATCCTCGGAGGTCAACTGTGCAAAGTAAGGCTGAGAGGGTAACAGGGCCAGAATAGAAATGCAGGACCAGGACTGGAGACGAAGTGGATCTCATCCCTAGGCCTGTGCTTGTCCCTCTAACACAGCTATCAAAACCCACCTACCCTGCCCACCCATAAGAGAACTGTCTTCCAAGAAGGAAGTCAGGCCACAGGGTACACTGACTGGGTTTCGAGGGTACTGGCTAACGGTAGTCCAATAAATCCTCTCTGTTGGAGTTTTCGGGAAACGAGGCATTTTTGAAAAAATGCCATGCTTCTTATGGCAGCATGAGTTAAGATCTTCCAGGAAGCTCTTGAAATCTGATGGTTCCTTTGGCTTTTTTTTCTGTGAGATAGACAGAGAGACAGAGAGAGGGCGGGAGAAGTTATGCCAGGAAAAGTAAGAACTCTCTTTACACCCTTACCAGCGATCAGAGCAGAGCAAGTGGCAGGGACAAGTAGGCCACATTCACTGCCTTTTGCCCATCTGTCCTGGGCTTAGCAGATGCCTCTGTCCACCAGCTGGCAGGGTAGAACTAGTCCTTTGCATCCCATATACATGCCATACCCCTCCACCCAGCTTGCCTTTATCCATTCCTTCTCTTGTTCACTCACTGGCCATTTACTGAACCAGGCAATGTCCTAAACAAGAACCATATTTCAACTGCTAAAAGAACCAATGTGGCTAGGCACAGTGACTCACACCTGTCGTCCTAGCTACTCAGGAAATTGAGATCTAAGGAATAAGCCTATGCAGAAAAGAAAATCCCCAAACTTGTACTTCTAATTAATAATTAAAAAATAAAAGCTTGACGTAGAGTTGTGGTTCGAGTGGTAGAGTGCCAGCTCTAAGGGGGAAAAAACTAAGGCAAGAGCTTGAGGGCCTAAGTCCAAGCCTCAGTATTGGCTCTTTCTCTCTCTCTCTCTCTCTCTCTCTCGCTCTCTCTCTCTCTCTCTCTCACACACACACACACACACACACACACACACATGCATGCAGATGATTTTCAGGGTATTGAAATGACTCTATAGGACACTACAGCCACACTTGTCAAAGCCACAGAATGACCACCAGCAAGAGTGAACTGCAGGCTGAGGGGACAAAGCATGTCACTGTAGGTTCACTGACTATAGCAAAACGTTCCACTCTGGTGTGGAATCTTGATAGCGGAGAGGAGAGGATTCATGTAAATTTATACTTGCCTCTCAGTTTTGCTAGGAACCTATCCTTACTCTAAGATATAAAAATCTAGCTGGGCACTGGTATCTCATGCCTGAAATTCTAGCTTCTTGGGAGGCTGAGATTTGAGAATCATGGTTCAAAGCCAGACCAAGGAGAAAGAAAACTGGAAGTGGAGCTGGGGCTCAAAAGTATAGAGCTCTAGCCTTGAGTGAAAAAAGAGTTCCAGGACAGCACCCAAGCTCCTAGTTCAGGCCCCAAGACAGAGAACAGGGCGGGGGGGGAGGGGGAAAGAGGGAGAGAAAGCGAGAAAGTGAGAAAGCAAGAAAGAAAAAGAAAGAAAGAAAGAAAAGAAAGAAAGGAAGGAAGGAAAGAAAGGAAGGAAGGAAAGAAAGAAAGTGAAGAAAGAAAGAAAGTGAAGAAAGAAAGAAAGAAAGAAAGAAAGAAAGAAAGAAAGAAAGAAAGAAAGAAAGAAAGAAAGAGAAGGAAGGAAGGGAAAGAAAAAAAAAGAAAGAAAGAGAGAGAGGGAAGGAGGGAGGGAGGGAGGGAGGGAAGGAGGGAGGGAGGGAAGGAAATGGAAAAGGAAAAGGAAAAGGAAAGGAAGGAAGAAGTCTATTAAAGAAAACAAATGCAAAGAAGCATTAAGGGCTGTCACTGGGCAGGGTGGAGGTTTGCTGTAGTCCCGTACTGGTGGCTGGTCAGGGGAGGTCTGGGAAGTCCTATGGGGAGCAGCCAGGTCACAAGGCACAAGCCATCAACTTTTTACCGAAAGGCCACATTACCCACCACCCTTCCTAGCTCTCCTACTGGCCTCTGCCACCACACTTGTCACCTGCTGACTCCCACGGATGATTTTCTAAGTTCCACAAAGGTGGAGCCCCCTGTGCCTTGACTCTCAAGCAGACCCAATTGTCTGCTCTGATGCACAGAGGAGAAAGAAAAACTAGGTCATTAGACAGACAGCAGGTACCCACTGCTAGAAGCATGAAGAAAGCCAAGCACAGGCGTACAACCCCACTACCAGAAACTGAAGGAGGTAGGCAGGCTAAAGTTCTACCTCAGTTTCCCCTCTTAACCCTCTTGTTCTCCCACAGAGCACTCTCCCTAACCCAGCCAGCCTAGCTCTATACCTATGAAGCCAGGAAGATACTTCTTCCAGAATTGCAGGATACTACACCTGTGTCCAGCCTCACATCACAGCCCATCCACACCTCCAGCGCAGTTCTTGCAGGAGCAAGGCTAGAACTAGCCATGCAACCAGAAGGATATGCTTGGGTTCAAATCCCAGCTCTGCCTCTCACCAGCTACCTGGCCAGCCTGTTTTCTTGCCTTACTGGGTAGAAGGCCCAGTAAGCCAGTTGTGGGATAGGACCTCTAGGCAGCACCTTGCATTCTGTGCAAGAGTGCCCTCCTGCCCCTTCCCCCCACCTGGAGACACACCTGCACAGAATAATGTCCATAAGGCAAAGGCTTGCTTCGATCACCAGAGAAAAGGTCGTAAGGGCCGCGGGTGGTGGTGGCTTTTTCCAGGAATAACTCGATGCCGTCTTTGATGGTATAGGTGCCGGGTCCCAGACCACTCCCCTAGAGACAGAAGAGGTGACAAGGCCTGCCAAGAGGGCTGCAAAAGGCAGGACACCCTGAAAGCCCCCTCCCAGCCCTGAGTGGGGGAGGCGTGGCTAGGTGCGGGGTACCTCATCACTGGAGCTGGGTGGCTTGTGGGACATCCTGCACATGAGGCCCTCAGAATGGGACCGGTTCCAGGCATTTTCCTCCAGCCGCGTGTATGGATTGCCTTTCTCCCCATAATTCCCAGGGCCTGGGTAGAAGTTCTGGGAGGCAGAAGTGAGGACCATCAGTATTGGTTCCTTGGAGGATCCTCACCCCCCAAGAGGCGAATGAGATTTTCAGGTTGTCCCTGAGTCACCACCCCCAACATACAACCTTGTCAGTGCTGATCCTCCTCTACTGCCCACACCTTCAACTCCAAGTTCAGCCTCATCACCAGACTTCCCGGCTGCTGGCCTGTCCCACCTCTATCTGTGGGCTCCATGCTACCACCTAAGCGCAGCCCTTGCTTGCTACTGCAATTACTGCCACTCGAAATCCCTTCCTGCCCGCTTTGCCTCAGAAACCTACTAATACTGCGGGCTAGTGACTCAAGCCTGGAATCCTAGCTACTCAGGAGGTTGAGATCTGAAGATCAAGGTTCAAAGCTAGCCTAGGAAGGAAAATCTATGAGACTCATCTCCAATGAACCACCAGAAGTGGCTCCAGCGGTTTAAACCTTGAACCCAGCATCTGGGTACTGAGTTCAAGCTCCCTCCAGTACCAAACATGAAAGGGAGGGCGGGAAGGGGGAGGGAAGAAAGGAGGAGGGAAGGAAGGAAGGAGGGAGGGAGTGAGTCCTATTAATCCTCAAAGCCCTTCAGGCACCGTCTCTCTTGGGACCACACCTTCTTCCCCCGCACTGCATCAGGCAATCCTCTGTTCCCAATTCCCAGCCCATCCTTGGCATGTGCTTCCAACAGTGCTTCGGTTCCCCAGAAGCATCTAGAGTCCTGGGTTCAGATTCTCATTATACTGCTTCTGAGATGAGTGAGCACGGGCCGTGAGCTACGGAGTCCACTGTGGTAACTAACATAGGGATGATCATAAAGGGCCCTGGAATGCCTAACACATAGTCAGGGTGAGGTAACTGACAGTGTTGGGGACAATAGAGGTGAAGAACTGTATCTGGAATAAGCGTCAGGGGCCTGGACTGAGTAACCAGGGTAGAAGTGTGGTCTTCCTAAGAGAAGTGAGCAGAGCTGCCTGCATGTGGGTGGGCATACTTTGGTGAAATGCAGCAGGATTTGGCCTGCTAGTCTGCATCTTCTAGCCACATGGGGTCGCTGTTATTCCACAGATAGATCAGCTCTGCCCATCTCTGGGCACTGGCACTAGCCCTGGGAAACCCAGGCTTGACAAAGAAGCAGGGGCCTCTGCTGGACAAATCAGGCCACTGCAAGCAGCATAATCGTTTATCTCCAAAGCAATCAGACTATGCCTCGCCTCCTGTGAGGAATAGGAGTATCCTGGTATGTTCTAGAGAAATTCCCCAAGAGTTCAGGAAGCTGGGGCCCTAAGTGATGTGCTATGTTAGAAGGCCTCAAAAACAGGTACCTGGTGCCAACTCAATGAGACCAAACTGATGTGGTTAGTCCTCAGAGAGGCAAATCACATCTGTGTTCCCACCTCCAAAAAGGGGCGCTGGGGTGCTGGGCAGCAAGCATCACAAGCCCTGGAGGGATCCCCTGTATTAGGAGTTCCTGGACAGCACGAGGCCTAGAGCTGGGTACTTTGTCACCACAATCACATTTTTTCCCCTTCAGACATCCAAATTCAGAGATTCTATAACTTGGCTGGTGTGAAAGATTCCAATTCTTTTTTCTGCGAGCTCAGAGCCACACATTCTGAGGCCAGAAGGATTAACTTGGGGGAGAGAATGGAGGAATTGTTACTTCTTAAAAAGTTGTTGCTCAAAGCCTGAGAAGGATTCCCCAAAGATGCTTGGGGTGGGGGGGAGAGTCCCTCAGGCAGGAGTAAAGACAGATATTCCAGTGCTCAGGGCTGAGGACACAGGAAAGAGGGTGTCAGACTTAAATCCTGAGATTAGACCAGTCCTCCAGAAATGAAGGAAGCACAGCTCCTGGGGAAATGGAGAAGCTATACCTTGGACACTTTAGATTGCTGTCCTGCTGCTACAGCCACCTTCTAGCTGTGTGGACTAGGAGGGCTGCTTAGCAATCTCTGTGCTCCAGGTTTGTCTGTACAGTAGACACAATGGTAATACCTACTTCCCAGGGCTGTCCTGAGGACTAGGTTACCAAGTGCTGGGTAAGTACCAGCTATGATTGTCTTAGATTGGGAGTTAATAACTCATTTAAAAATACCTCCAGGCATCCCTGTCCTAGGTGACAGTCACACTCTACACCTGAAGATGTACTTGTTTATTTCCTGAATGTCAGGGGATGCCACATTCCTAGGTTTCTGGGTGATAGGGGTTAGGGGAAATGCCTGGGTTTTAGGATCGAACATTCTGCTACTTGGATCTCAGTTTACTCCTTGTCAGCTTTGCAGCCCAGGGCAAGTTACTTACCCTCTCTGATCCTGTAGGTCCCAAGGTGATTGCAAACACTCATTTCATGCCAACTGTGTACCAAGCACTACAGGGCCTTCAACATGTCATGGGCTGTGTAGATGTGCATCACACTCTGGTGAGTGGGGAGCGGGGGTGAGGTGAGACACCAAACACCTACCTACAACAGGGACTCGTAGGAAGAGAGAAGGCTCCTAGTGGATTCAGAGGTTTCTGAAAGCTGAGAGCTACCAGTGAGCAGGAGAGTCTGGGGCCAGGAGGCTGCTAGGGGAGGAAAGGTGTTCCTAGCAGAGGGCTGCAATGGGGTAAGTGTGGGAAAGACCATGGCACATCCTTCAGCAGAGTTAGCAAGGGCAGGAGGGCACTCAGAAAATGGCAGCACTCACCACTGAGGTGTGCGGAATGACCCTCTCTCCTGACCTGGGCCTCCTTTGTCCTCCTGGGAAGTGATCACTGTACCCCACACTTTCTTTTTTTTTTTGTCGGTCGTGGGGCTTGAACTCTGGGCCTGGGCCCTGTCCCTCAGCTCTTCAGCTCAAGGCGAGCGCTCTACCACTTGAGCTACAGTGCCACTTCCGGTTTTCTGGTGGTTTATTGGAGATAAGAATCTCACGGTCTCTCCTGCCCGGGCTGGCTTTGAACCGTGATCTTCAGATCTCAGCCTCCTGAGTAGCTAGGATTACAGGCGTGAGCCACCAGCGCCCGGCCCCCACACTTTCTTGAAGCCCTACTCAGCCAGCACCTCTCCCTGCAAGTCTGCAGCTGCCTTCCTAGCCCTGACGCCCACAATCAGATGCTCCCCATAGACAACCAAGCAGGCCATTGGATCCAAACCCTCAGTGTCCCTCCCACAGCCCTTGGAATGACCCTTGAAGGAGCCATCTTGGCTTCAAGGGCCTCAAGACCCAGCTCCTCCTTCCCCTGCCCTCTTCCTTTTCTTGCTTAGCTGGCTGTGTATACAGATGAGGACACTTGCTGAGCACCTAATATCTTCCACATGCTCTGCTGGGACCTAGAGAAGGACCAAACCCATCCCTGTTGAGGTACAGCAGCTCTGAGGACCCAGAGGAGAGCCTGGGCCAAGCCTGAAGAGGAAAAGATACAAACAAGGAAGGGGGTTTCTGGCATCATTAGGGCTATATGCAGTTCCCAGAGAGCAGAGCATGGCAGGGATCCTTCTCTGCAGTTGAGAACACCTACCCCGATGAGGCCTCGGAACCGGATCTCCCCAGAGCTGAGAAGCCCCCGAGTGCTACATGGTTTCTGCTGTAGCTCTTCTAAGAAGTCTTTGAAATTGTAGCAGCCAGGTCCTAGTTTCGACTCCTGTCCCAAAAGAAGAAAGCATAAGATGGAAATTGGGAAGCAGGAAAGGTCCACAGGAAGGGGACTCAAGGGATGACATCTCTTCCAGGATGAGCTAGCACCATCAAAACCTGAAGGACACTGAGGTCCATGCATGGAGCAGCCAAACCTGGAAGCCTGGCCCAGGAGAGGGCAGGGCGTGAGCCAGCAGCCTCACCTTCTTATGTCTCTCTTTCATGATGGCCTGGTACTGGAAGTGAGGCAACTGGGTCAGCCTGGTAGCTTCCAGAGCCCGGGCCCATCCTGTGCCCACTTCCTTCTTCAGCTTCTTTTTGCTGAAGCAGGTCTCTGTGCAGTTGTAGGCCCCAGGTCCTATATGGGACTGAGTTAGAACATTGTCAGAACTGGACCAGCCATACACATCCAGTCCATCCTTACAGCAAACTCCATACCCACCCAGTCTCTCTTCACCAAACCACCCCTGACCTGGAGCTAGAGGCCAATCAATCGCCCCCCCCCCAGCATCCATCTGAGTATTTGGACACTTGGTATTCCAGGTGTGATCCTAACCTCCTCTGGCACTGGCCCTGTCACACTTGAGGGAGGCGTAGTAACACTGGAGAGCCCACAGTGGCCAGCACTGAAGCTGGGACCGGGATCCAGGTCTGTGCAGCCCCCAAAAATGTGCTGTTTGCACTACAGTCCATGTTATCAAACATATCAGAAGCCTGACTCCAGATCAAGCTCATACCTGGGGCTGTAGGTATGGAGAAAGGGAGAGAAGGGAGTGGAGGGGGTAGGAAGGGAGAAAAGGGGGGAGGAAAGGGAGGAACACATCACATACACAGCTCAGCTCACCCACTGGGATGGGCTGCTTCGAAGAGCAAAGACCAGACTATGTGGGGGAGGCCAAACGGCCAAGAACTCACCACATCCACGGAATGTTGTCTGGAGTAGGGAGCCTCTGTGAAGGTGCTGAGTTTCTTTCTTTGGGGATAAACACCAGAGACATCGAACCTAGGGAGACATGCAGCCCACTGAGCCCAGTGCCTAGCACTGGACCCCAGCTTGGGCAGTCTTACAGGATGGGCAAGCCACTCTCCCAAAACAGGTGACGTTGGAGCTGGCCATGAAGGTTGAACATCAGGGCTGCAGTAGCTTGGACCATTCGGGGTGACTCCACCCCCATCTGTCCCACTTCACCCTCCAACTCTTCCTCCAGCTAAGTTTTTTGCTAAAGGCCCCATCACCACTAGACTTCATGTATATATGTATATGTATGTGCATATTACGTTATCTATTATATATATTTTAGATATACTTCATGTATAATGCAATGTATGTTTTGTGTGTGTTTGAGACAGTTTCCCTATGTAGCCCAGGGTGGCCTTGAACTTGAGGTCCTGTTGCCTCATTCTCCTTTGTGCTGGAATTACAGATGTGAACTACCACACTGGGTTTGTAGATAGCTTTAGTATGATATGGTTTTTATCTACCCTGCCGCTCTCTCATAGAGTACAAACTATAAAATGCACATAATGTATCTGAAGATGAGACCACTGGGTAAACTCTCACCCACAACCTTTCCGTGGCGTGGAGGGCTGTACTGGAGTTTTGAACTCAGGGATATGGATTTGTTTGGCAGCTGCTCTGCCTACAACAAGAGTCACACTCCCATCCTTCCACCCACTACTTTTTTTTTTTTTTTCCCAGTCCCCAGGCTTGAACTCAGAGCCTGGGCACTGTCCCTGAGCTTCTTTTGCTCAAAGCTAACACTCTATCACTTGAGCCACAGAGCCACTTCTGGTTTTTTCTGTTTATGGAGTACTGAGGAATTGAACCCAGGGCTTCATGCATGCTAGCCAAAGCACTCTACCACTAAGCCACATTCACAGCCTCCCACCCACAGCTTTTTAACCAAGTGCTAGATTATCTGGCTTCTCTCTAAACCCGGCACATAATAGGTGCTCTGGACCTGACTTACAAGGATGCACTAAGGAAGTAGAAGAGGTTGGTTGTTTTTTTTAAAGGGGGTGGGCAGCAGGAAGAAGTGGAGGGGGGCCCAGCCCCCCCTTACTGCCAGACAACCCCTCCTCCTCCTCCTCCTCCTCCAAACTACATCCCTTCCGAGGGGAGGAGCCTTAACCACCCCCAACCCTCAGGAGGGGGCGCTGGGGGACAGGCAGAGGCTGCCTTAGAACGTGAGCTCCAGGATGCTGATGGGCCGCACCTGTGGCTCTGCACCCCGAAGGGCGCCCGTCCGAACCACTTGAAGGTGGAGGTCATGGTGCCGGTGGTAGTGATCGGGCACCAGCCACGAGGTCCGAGCAGCCTGACTTGAGCCTGCCCAGCCCCGGAGCACCCTTCCCCCAGCTCTCGCCCCGGCCCGCCCCGTTACCACGGCAACCAGAGGCTTGTGATTTTCTGCGTCGGTGCCACGTGGCGCCGCCAGCCCCTCCCAGAAGTGTTCATTCATTTGTGTGTTTTCCAGGCTTGCCTTGCCGGAGATCCTTCCCTGAAGACTTAATGACCCCTCCTGGTGCTTAATATGGAGCGATTTGGTGGGATCATTTGCTGAGAATTTGTTTGCTGGGTGAGACCAGACTCAGGAGGTGCCTCTTAACATCCGATGGGATGTGACCTAGGACCAAAAGAGCAGAGATTTGGGCAAAATGGCACCCCGACAATGGAGGGAAGGAGGAAATAGGGGCAGGGCTAGGAGAGAGGAGCATGGAGGACCAAGGTCAGGTTGGAGAGGTGGGCAGGGGGTTGCAGGGTCTGTCCCTCGTACACCTAAACATCCATTCTGGACAGACACTGTGCAGCCTGCCTGGGGGCCAAACCTGGTCCCTACCGTGTGGTCAGGCCCAAGAGAGATCCATAGATGGGTCAGCGGAGGTTTCCTAGAGGAGGAGAATTCCAAGCTTAACACTGAAGCATCGACTTGCCAGGTGAAGAAAGGAGTTGAGCGTGTGCACTTCCAACAGAACATGGTCAGCTCTCCCTCTTCCTGTATTTCCTCTTTCCAGCACCCTTGGCTGTGTCTAGCTGAAATAGCATCTCCATGATTGTCTCTTATCCCACAAGGGCCTTTAGCAACTAGTGGAGTGGAAATCTCCATCTAATTTGTATTTTTATTTTGGTGGTGGTCATGGGGCTTGAGCTTAGGGCCTGGGTGCTATCGCTGAGCTTTCTCTCAAGGCTAGTGCTCTACCACTTTCAGCCACAATGCCACTTCTGGTTTTCTGGTGGAAAATTTGAGTCTCACTGACTTTCCTGCCTGGGCTGGCTTTGAAGAGCGATCCTCAGGTCTTAGCATCCTGAGTAACTAGGATTACAGGTGTAAGCCACCAGCTCCTGGCTTCCATTCTTTTTTTGTTTTTTGTTTTTTCTATCAGTCATGGAGCTCAAACACTGGGCTTGGGCACTGTCCCTGAGCTCTTCAGCTCAGGGCAAGCACTCTACCACTTGAGACACCGCACCACCAGTTTTCTGGTGGTTAATTGGAGATGAGTCTCATGGACTTTACTGCCTGGGGGAGCCTGAACTCTGGGCCTGGGTGCTGTCCCTCAGCTCTTCAGCTCAAGGCTAGCACTCTACCATTTGAGCCATAGCAACACTTTCGGCTTTTTCTGTTTATGTGATGCTGAGGAATTGAACCCAGGGCCTCATGCATGCAGAGCAAGCTCTACCACTGAGCCACCTTCCCAGCCCTCCATCTAATTCTTGATGACACAGTTGAAGTCACAGACAGGTAGGATATGCTCTGGACCAGAGGTGCACAGTTTTCCTGTGCAGGCCCCACCCAATGCCCTTCTGATACCCAGAGCCAGTATTTAATGTGTGCCCCCACCCTCCCACAGCCCAGAGCTGGACTTTGAGGCTCTATGCTTTGGGGCACGTGGTCATGGCTGCCAGAGTGTCTATCGTACATCACTGAATGGATGGTCAGAAGCCTGGGGCCTCAGGATCAGATACCCTGAGTCATCCACTGTCCCTCCCCAGGACTGGGACCTAGGGCAAGTTGTTTCCTTCTCTGTCTCAGCATTCTTCCATAGAGAGAGTGATCTGTCTCCACAGACTGCTGCAAAAATGAGATGACCTGATTTTGGTGACATTCCTAAACACAGCAAGAGCTTGGTAAGGTCATTCCTAGTCCTTGGAAAAGAACCTGTCAGAGGCCTACAGAGAGACTGTATCTTATCCTCTTCCTGATACAGTACCTACCACATAGTAAGTGCTCAGTAAATATTTGTTAAATGACAATTAATGAATGGGTGAATGTAGTCCAATGTCCAGAGCAGGATCCCCTCTCTGCTGCTTCCTAGCTGGTGACCTTGAGCAAGATACCCTCACCAAGCATTGTTTTCCTCACCTAAGACAGGGACACATGACTGGATCTTCCTGGAGGAGAATTTTCGAGGTATCAGGGCAGCATCAGATATATAGACCCATACACCCAGAACTCTTCCATCCCCCCAGGTCTGCTCAGGAATCCTTGGGGTTCCAATCTTTCTACAGCTGCTTAGCTGCTTCTCTCCCACACTGATCCCTTGGTTCTGGGACTCATGGAGGAGTGACAAGGTCCACTGGGACCTGGTGGACAGGCAGGCTAGAACGGGCCATGGTGAGTCAACTGTGCAGAAAGGGCACCTGTCCTAGGCAGCCCAACACTGCCCTATCACAACTACTTCCTTGTGTGAACAGCAAGCTTATTCCCTCTCAGAGATACTAGCCCAACCTCCCCACCCTCATTGTACAGAAAAGGGAACTTGGGATTGGAGGTAAGGCTCAGGTGGTAGAGAAAATAAAATGAAAGGGAACTATGGCCTAGACAAAATGATCCATTGCCCTGGCCATATGTAGTAAGGCAGGGTACATTTGAGACATAATATTTGAGAGCACCCTTTAGCCTTTTCTGCTTCTGAAACATACACACACACACACACACCTCCAGACTCAAGCTCTCCTTTCCTCCCAACTTCTACTAACCTTCTGGGAGTCAGGCAAAAGCTAAGCCCACCCATCAGCATACCTATTATAAATAATAGAAAATACACGTGGGGCTGGGAAGGTGGCTCAGTGGTAGAGCACTTGCCTTGCATGCATGAGGCCCTGGGTTCGATTCCCCAGCACCACATAAGCAAAAAAAGAAAAAGAAAATACACGTGTTGGTAAGGATGTAGAGATATTGGAACGTGGCTTATTGCTGGTAGGAAAATAAAATGGTTTATTTGTGGAAAGCAGCACAACGGTTTCTTAGAGAACAGAAAAGCATTATTGTATGATCTAGCACCTCTACTTCTAGATACATACCCAGAAGAAAGCAAAGGCAGGGCCCAAACATGTACTTGTATAGTGATGTAACCTATTCACAACAGCCACAAGATGGGAGAAACACACATGAATGCCAACAGATGAATGGATAAACAGAGTCTGGCATAGACAGCCTTTATTTAGCTTTAAAAAGGACAATTGACAGGTGCTATGTGCTACAACATGAACAAATCAAGGCAGGTAGAGGACAAGGTTCATCTCCTGATCAACAGCAATTTATAGTAAGCTTTTTTAGATTAAAAATTACTAATTGTATTACATTTTGTATCTACAAAAATAACAAGTGATCAATGGCACCAAAATCTTGGTTGGTTGGTTGGTTTTTAATGCCAGTACTCGGGCTTGAATTCATTGGCCTGGACACTGTCCCTTAGCTTTTGTGGTCAAGGTTGGTATTTTACCAGTGGAGGCACAGTTCTACCACTGGCTCTTTGATGATTAATTGGAGGTAAGAATCTCACAAACTGTTCTGCTTGAGCACACATCTCCAGGCCTGGGAGCAAGAATGGCAAGAGGGGTCCAGAATCCAGAGCAGGGTAGGAGGACTCAGGCCTGCAGCAGAGAGAATGACCACCCCCAGTCTGCAAGCTAGTGGTCAAGAGACTTCCACAGGCCTGAGAGCAAGACTGGCCCAAGCAGGAGACAAGAACCAGGCAGGTGCAGGATGGGAATGAGCAGATAGGGGGAGGACCAAGCTTACACTGATCCAGAATGGCCACTTACGGTTTTACCTGTGACATCTCCCTCCCCTGCAGGGGAAGGAACTGGCATCCCCATGTCACATAAGAACAAAGTAGGCTATAGGACCGATCACACATTACTCAAGTCGAACAAGTGAAATGAGAACTGGCATCTGGAAGCCATTGCTGAGCAGAGAGGAGGTAGCGAAATCCCAAGTGGGAAGTGTGGGTGGGAATAATGGCTGAAGGAACCCAGGTGAGAGGTGTGGGGGGACTCTGCCGAGAGGAAAAACACTGGAGAGCTAGGAGGGAAGGGGGGGGCGGCAGCTGAGGGGACCGGACAGCAGTGGAGGGCATGGAACAGCTGGGCTTCCTCAGCTGCAAGACCAGTCCTGGCTTTGCTCAGGAGGGCAGCACGGAGCCGCACCCCGGAGGGAGGTGATCTTGGGCAAAAGTGGGGCTCCAGAGCTCCTGTGGGGCACGCCCCAGTCCTGTGAGCTGGGCCAGCTCTTTTCCTCCTCTGAAACAGTTTCCTCATCTGCTGAGCAGAGTGAAAAGTTCTCCCTTTTGCCCCGCGTACCCGAGTTTGCGAGGCCCGCATTTGGCAATGCACCTGTTTTTCTGGCACATCTGGTTGTGCAAGGCTGTGTCTAGCTGAGCAGCGAAAGCGGAAACACCTACAGGACACTCCCCGTGGCTGACACGGGACCCACCCACGGGCGGGAGGCGCCCAGGATCCCTGGGTCGGACGGGGACCCGGTGGTGGGCGCGCCCTGGGCCTCCGTGCCGGGCTCGCTCTGGCTGGCGTCCTCCCCGCCCCGCACCCCGCCATCCACTGCCCACCCACCGACTTGGCGAGGCCAAGGGAGCAACAGCGCAGCCATGACGGATCCCGAGGCCGTGGCTGACGACCTGGACGCGCTCATCGACGACCTAGACTACCTCCCCGGCCACTTCCACCTGGAGATGCAGCTGAACTTCGAGCCGTGCGCGCCGGCCTCATCGCGACCCCGCGATCTGAAGCTGCAGCGGGAGCGCCTGCGGCAGGAGCTGGAGCTGGCGGCCGCGGGGCAGAGGCCGGCCTTGGGCCACCTGCTGGGCGCGCTCGCCTTCCACCTGGAGGAGCTGGATGAGGCCCGCGAGCGCTTCCTCCAGGTGGCCCGCGAAGACCCCGGCAACCTCAACGCCTGGGCCAACCTGGCACACGTGTACGGGCGTCTGGGCCAGGAGGAGGAGGAGGAGGCGTGCGCCGCGAGGCTGGCGGGCCTC